AGAGAAAATGAGAGAACAAGCTATGTCTCTCAAAGCTCTGAATGATAATTTGCAAAAGCTTCCGGCCAGGTGTGTCACACCGTCGTCGTGTAGCGATCGCGAATGCGCTCAAGACGAGCTCGCTCCGAGGTTACCTTGCGAATTATAACAATCTGACGATGAATCATCAAATTGTTATGTTTTCATTGTCGCTCAGAGCTACTACGAATGTTCACGATTCGTCATTCAATTGTCTAATGTACACATCTTGTTACGACTAATTACTGATGTTCGTTTTAAAAGGACATTCTGCTCTCACGGAATACAATAACTATCGTTATCGCGGCTGCGTAAGTTGTCGTAAAAAAAATCAGGCTAGATTTTATTATTCCTTGTGGCCTAATAAACAATGAGCATGCGTCGCTTCACTCTCGAGGAGACTCTCGAAAGCTCATGTATACGCCCACCTCGTCGTTCGCGCGGGCGCACGCTCGGAATAGCCAACCGTCCTGGAAATCAAGTCCTACACTTCTTCTTGTCCATTATTCGCCTCGTCGGCCATTACGAGGAATCAAGTTTTGTATCGCTCACGGAAAATTAATCGAGGCGACGCGAGATGAGAAAACGCGACTCGACTGCCGTTGGCGCGCCGTCGTCGAGCCGCACTGACCGCGTTTGTTTACGATCGCGCTTTGGGCTCTTCGCTCTCGCGGCATTAACCCGAACTCCGCGGTCGGCATTGTTTTTTCTTGCCCGTCGCGTACCCCGGCCAAACGAGAATCGGAAAAAGAGAAAGAGGCAACGGTTGCGGGTGGCGAGACAGAACTTCCTAACGGATAAGATTTGGCGAGAGAGCCGATGAACTCTCGCCGAAACGTATTTGCATGCTTCTGCACGCTAAATTGGATACTCCACTCGCTCCCTCCCTCTCTTTCTCTCTTGTTACACGATTGTTCGTGAATCACTCATTACGTGGCTCTTTTTTTTTCCATGGTCCACACTCATGAATCACGGAGGGATCGCGTGGATTACAGCGATAGATCGATAAATATCTATGTACGAACCATGGCGTGAGATCGATTATTGAAATAACGGAGAGTATCGAACGATAATAACGTAATCGAAAAATAGTCTTTCTTGTAGAAGGCATAGTTACACGTAGTCTCGAGTGCAGAGGTGTCTATGTATAATATTGCACTATACGACGATAAAGAAAACTTGCGACCCGATTCGCAACTCAATAGTGACCTCATTTCAGCAGCCTCTCTCAATCTAATTACCTGTTCCATGTAGTTGAAAGTCTCTCTATACCTTGACGCGAGTCTCTGTGGAGTCTCTCGAATGAGGACGAAGAAGAAAAAGGTGTCGACCGGAATAATTTGAGTGTTTTTCAATGGCTTGCATAATTGATCAACGCTAGGACATTGTAATTACCCAGAGTGCGCACGAATATTTACGAAATAAAACGAGTCATCGATCGTACCGAAAATCGTCACGAATGGAAATAGTCGCGTGGCAAAAAGAGAAAGAAAAAAAGAGAAGTACAGTGAAATACAGTAGTATACGCGCCGCGAGTTGGACTCTATGAATGGTGCCGACGACACCTCTGATCGAGCAAGGACGACTAATTGTAGCCTTACACGTAGCGTGTTGTTCTTTTTCTCATTTTCGCCTTCATCGAATTTACGGGGGATCCCTATTCTCTCTCTCTCTCTCTCTCTCTCTCTCTCTCGGGTCTGCTGCAATGAGGTCGAGCTAGTGGGAAAATGTCACCAGCGTGACGTAATCGACCGACGACACAACGCTTCCATGCGGATAATTGTCTTTTCTTTTTCTTTTTATCGCCGAAATTTAAAAATTGTTTGGCATCGATTTTGATGAAAGGGTGGCGATAATGGCTGTGAAGTTGCTTTGCTCGCATAAAGCTAGGAGGACTAATTTTACAAAACTTTCCAATTCGGTATTAAAACGTTACGACGAAAAAGAAAAAGTCTCGAAATTATGGTTCCAACTCAATAGACCTCGATATTCTTTTTATTTGTTTGTTTCTGAATAAACGGATGAGTGAAATGTTATTTCCCGCGTTATTTTAACAAGTGCTCGTCTGATCTTGATGTCAGTGAGAAATCATTTGGAACAATACGCGATGAATTATGTCATTGTGAACTCGGTAGAAAAATTTTTCATTCACAAAAAAAAAAAAAATGTCCTCGATCGATTTTCAATTTTATCACGGGTATTGCTGCTATTTTTACACCGTTCAGTGTTTCATGAGAAACATTTTCGCAATTACCGAGCTACATTGAGAATGGGAAAAATAATCTTTGATAGGGAGAATAAGAAAGATTAGAGGGGGAAAAAGAATTGAATTCCAAGCAACGATAAAAAAAAGCCTCCATCATGCGACGTCTACGCCACTTGTTCTAGTTATTTACTTCCTTTTTTTCGCGTACAATTAGGCTCTGCAAGTAGGTCGATAGACTGAAAAATCGCGAACGGCGGTGAGTCACGCGCAGCAATTCCCTCCCAGGGCACACGTACACACACACGATCGAAATGTGTGTAGTTGGCTACACGCGAAAAACTGTCAATTAAAGTCCCGCGTTCATCGACAACGTTTTTCCTTGATTAGCCACTACGTACAGCGGTGCACACCCTCGTGCGCTCCAGAGTAGTTTCTTCTTATTTGTTGAGGCTACGTATTAAGCTATTGTAATTTTTTTTATTTTAGAACATTTACATTGTTTTCTGTCTTCAAATTGCAGGATAAATTATATACTTTAGTGCCCTTTTAATATTCGACATTGTAAAACGTCGAATTCTGTTTCACTGTTTTTGGTTTATTTTTATGCTAAAGACGAAATTTCATACGATTTTTTAATAATTCCTAAACTCATTTTTGACTTACTCTTACGCGTAACTTATTAATTACTCATTACTTACTTTTTATCGTCAATTACTTCTTTTAAGGCCTTGCTAAGAAAAGATTTATACTATAAATAAACGCGAACGGTTCAAGATCAGTACGATTGCTATATTATACATTTCGCATGAAATTGATTTTAATAGCTCACCTGGCAGATATTTAATAGCTATGTGTGATAAAACGATCGCTTCAAACATTAAATAAAAAGAACAACGATACAAGTAGTAATTCTATTGGATCTCAAAATCCAAGAATGAAACTGTCAAAAGGAAAAGCTCGAACACATAGAACTAACAAAGAAAGTCAACCTCGAAGAAAAAAAAAAGAATCATTTCACTACCTACCCGTTTCGCCCGACTTTTTGTTGCTACCCACGCCGAGGAGAATCTCTTTTGCGCCATCAGCTCAACGCTGACCTTTGCACCTCAGACTTTCCTCTCTCGTTGAATTTTCATCGCGTGCGCAGCAGCGGCTTTTCAACCCGGTTTCACTTACCTCTGCAGACAAATCTCTTTTTGACGCGCGCGCGCGCCCATTCTCCCTCTGTTGTTTTCACGTTCACGACTCTCTTTTGTACGGTGCGCGCCTGACGTTCTCGGATTTTACTTTTGTAATGGGATCTGCTCGTTTTGTGCACGGCAACGGCTTTACTTACTCGCGAAAAATGACGTTGCGCCGAAAGGTTAAGGCCGTAATGAATACTCCGGCGATGTAAATAATGATGTGTCTATTTCGTCGAGGATTCAATTGTCAAGTAGCTTGTTCAGTTTCCCAAATGTGAAACGATTGTAAATAAGATAATTGCACTTTGTTTTTCGTTCGTATGGATGGCCGTTCAATTTACATTGTTTTCTGTCTTTGTAATTGAAAGTATAAGTATTTTCATTATGATCAAAGATAGTCTTTACTTTTGAGGATCGTATTTTAGTGCCTTTCGTTTCTGAAGGAAAAGAACGCTTTAATTTTGACGTGTCAATATGAAACGATTCAATAAATGCGCGCAAACAATTTTCTTTACGGATGGTATATTACGTTAATTAAAAAGCTTCCATAAGTATGTAAACGCGTATCTTTTTGGGAAATGAAAGGTCGCTGAAAATACTATCAACACAAATTGCTCTCGTAAATCGTGTTTCCTATCTCGATAATTAATAGATTAAATCTCTCGATATTTCAAATGAAAAAATAAGCTTACATTGCAAATTCACAATGACAAAGTCAGTTCGTACTTGCACCGTTTAAGATCGTTTAGTCGATAATCAAAACTGTCGTACGCGAAGCGACCCCAATTCAATTAAATGCCCTCCTCAAATCTGCATCATACGCAGGTCTACTCCATCAGAACTCAACATTCGGTCGAAATCCAATCTGCTCGACGTCCGAAATGATATACCACTTGCGGCGACGCGGATTAGCAAAAGGGCGCCGAGGGGGAGGGAGGAGTTTAATATCAAAATCGATACATCAGGCGCGCCACCACAACGAAATATTTACGAGGCGCTTTTTATATCGTAGCCGCACGCTCGAGTGTACTGCGCGTTGAGGTACGCAGAGCCTGGTAACGGTGAAAAAAAAACATCGCTGGCTTCGGTCTCTTTCTCTCTTCCTCGGCAATGGCGTTTCGTCGGGACCGTCGCCGTTGCCTGAAAATCCCATAGCGGTCGCGCGCAATCGCTCGACGTGGAAATTGCAGCTGGGCTTGCGCAAATATAAAACTTTCGACTGCGCCCTTCGGCAGGCAATTTCGAGCGGAAATCATGCTGGACAATTTGTTACGCGGATTTTCAGAGCTCTTCCCTTGCCTTTGATTGATTTTGATGTAACGGTTACTTCAGCGGAGCTTAGAGCCACAACTAATTGCTGTCGAGCGAACTTGAAACGCAATTCCGTGCCACGTTTGACTTTCTCCTTGCGTTGCTCGAAGAAAAAGAAAACCCACCGCGTGCGTCTCGAACGCGTGCGTGTTTGTACGTGAATGGATTTTAATGTTCGAGAGCTCGCCGCGGAGATCACACGTGCTCGGGTTACAGGATTGTATTTACATTTTCGTTTTGTCGTTTTCTTTGCCGTGACGAGCGAAGAGGGTCGCGCGCCGTTCATCGCGCGAAACCGTCTAATTTTGGTGTTCTGCATTCGGAGTACGACTGTAGCGTTTGATTTGGGACACGTTTGCAACGAGAACCTTGGTTTTGAGGAGTTTTATTGTGACAAGGTAGGAACAAAACAACTCGCAGCTATAACATATGAACTGGTTCGAGCACACACAACAGAGAAATATACGCCTTGAAAGCAGTGCAAGGGGAAGAAAGAAGAGGAGCTTAGCAACGGCGCTGCTTTCAAGAGGAAGTGCGCGCGCATGAAAACGGTTGATCAGTCGTGAAGAATCTCTCCGGCACTTGCGGCTCTGTTAAAAGTACTTGTCAAGTTTTTCCGCGAGTTTGCTGGGGTCGACGTTAGGCCCGTGTCGCTCGACTACCTTGCCCTGCTTGTCGACGACGAACTTGGTGTAGTTCCACTTGATGAAGCTGCCGAGGGTTCCGCCTTTCTCTTTCTTCAAGTACTTCCACAAGGGGTGAGCCGCGTCGCCGTTCACATCCACTTTCTCGAACATTTCGTATTTCAACTGCAACGAATTTTTCAGCTTACCCGTCGACGAGCGTTCGTCTCATGCGGTTCACTCACGTTTTTGCGAGCGGCCAGGCTGCAGATCTCTTCCGAATCGCCTGGCTCTTGTCCGTTGAATTGATTGCACGGGAAAGCCAGAATCCTCAAACCTAACGAAGAACCGTCGTTTCTTTAATTGAATGGCGCGTTCGAAAGTGACGCGATCAGTACCTTTGCTCTCGGCATACTTATCGTGAAGTTCATTCAACTCTTTGTCATTGGTCGCGGCAAGACCACACTGCGATGCGACGTTCACAATGAGCAATACGTGATCCTTGTAACTGGAATTATGGCAAAAATTAATGCAACTCATCGTGATCGATCAACTTTTTTTTATTTATCGCTTACTTCTCTAAGGCAACATCTTGCCCCTTGATATTTTTAGCTACAAAGTCATACACTGACTTTGCAGATTTGTAATCGTTGTTTCCACTCATTGTTAGTGGCAAATTCTGAAATTAATCAATTTTCGTGTTATTGCATCATGAACGTCAGCGGATTTACTATTAACAACTAATAACTCGTTCATCTGTCGATCGCTATAATTAGATAAATGGTCATCTTATTTTAGAAAATACGTAGTCATCACGGAATTTATTGGAAATTCTTAACGAAGAATCAACGAGGTGCTTACATTCGCGGACGAAACTGTTATCGTCAAAATAGATAAGTCAAAATTTTAGTAATAAATTCTATAAATAGTTAATATTACGCAATGGGTATGGAAATGCATTATTTATACAAAACAACAGATTTACGGTGAATGCGCTTCCGCAAATGTGAGCCTCTACGCGCTCCTTATGCACAATATTTCACGCTATGGAATGACGAAAACCAATAACAAAGTAGCGATTTTGAGGTTAGAGTGTCACGGGAAGAATATCAGAATTTCAAATGAATTTCAGCGCCTTACCAGAGTACTAACTTCCTCGCTACGTCACTGCTGTATTTTTACTTCTATACAAGTCGAAAGAATCGAAAATCAGTCACTCAACATTCCACTTGAGATATAGACTTCCTCTCCTCTTGTTGTTCCACACCCGACTGGCTAGCGTCTGTCCGTAGTATAAGTAGAGGCCCCTTTTAAAGCCTGTTTACGTGCAACTGGACAAGCATCAGAGTTGGGAATGAACTTTCAGATAACTTTCGTTATATAGTGACTTGCAACTATACTTTCATAAGTTATGCTGATTTTGTGTAATTTTAAAATGTGCTCAGCCACTTTTCAAAATTCCAAGGCCCAACAGCCATTTTCATCATTATTATTATTACATATGTATGATCTAACACAATATAATATTGCAAGCTGTCTCGGTAAATATTTTATTACTAAATTTACTCTTGATTTTAAATACATATAAAATTCGTTTGAACTTTTTATATTGTCCATTTTGCGATTCTGCCTTTCAAGCTATTACATGTGATGGACAAAAGTATGTATAAGATATATTACAAGTTCATGCAAAAAATTATTGTTGAGAAAGTAATTGACCGAATAATTCCCGAATTTAACAGTAAGATATATAAGAATGGCGGCAATAATTCAAAAGGGTACAATAGATATTTGTATATTTTTCAAGGAAATTGCTAGCCAGCAATAAATTAAAGCAAATTTACAAAAGACGATTTTATTAAGTGTTTTTCACATATATAAAATATGTGTGAATGTTACAGAAAGTAAAACTAATAATAAAGAAAAGAAATGTGGAGTATCGTGTAAATGTAAGCGTGTCGCGGACATAACGCGGATTCTAATTGCAAAAATTAGCTATTATGAGTAGATCTAAATAGCTTTTTATAAAAATGACTCTCAAACGTGTAAGCGAATAATTATAATAAAAAAAGGAAAGTTTGTGACATCAATCTTGTAGATCGAAAATAATATATATCACTCAGACTATAGTATACGCAGTAGACACACAGAACTCTTTAAAAGTATTTCTCAAGCTTGTCAGCGAGTTTACTGGGATCAACATTGGGTCCATGTCGTTCAACGACTTTGCCCTCCTTATCGACGATAAATTTGGTGAAATTCCACTTGATGAAACTACCAAGAGTTCCACCCTGTTCCTTCTTTAGATACTTCCACAGTGGGTGAGCATTGTCACCATTCACGTCAATCTTGTCGAACAACTCAAACTTTACCTGTAAAAAATAAATATAGTCATTGCAAAGGACATTTTTTATTATTCGGAAACGCTTGTCCTAGATTCGAAGATATATAGATTTTTCGCATGCATATAAACTTTTTCCTCGCTTATATTTCACGTCCGCGCGCGCATTTCGCATCGATGAATTCTTCCGGAGCAAATACGCGAGCGAGCACGGCACTATTAATCTTAGGGAAGAGAGTTGGCTTTGAACTAACCCAGTTTCAGCTCTCTCTCTCTCTCTCTCTCTCTCTCTCTCTCTCTCTCTCTCTCTCTCTCTCTCTCTCTCTCTCTCTCTCTCTCTCTCTCTCTCTTTTTCTCGGTAACTGGTTCAAGAAAACGTTGATCTTTTGACAGTTTATTATGCAAAAAGCTATCCTAGGTCGTATCATAAAAATGTTAATTTGAGCAATTTAAAAGTTTCAAGAAGAACAGAAAATCTTTTGCGATTAACCGTTTTTTTTCGAGCAAAATATAAACAGTAGGATATTATATATATATACACGTTTTTCGATTTGTAATCTAGGTTGCTTACTGCTGAGAAGTAAACAATACACAGCTCTTATTATCGATTTTTTTCCACTGAGGCTCATTGTTTTGAATGCAGGACACGGAAAGTTTTAAATAGGAAGCATGAACATGTTTCCTAGTGCCCTAGTCTCCCACTGGAAATTTATTTTCTATGCGTAATAACAGACTCACTTTCTGACGGTCTGCAAAACTGCAAATCTCCTCAGAATTGCCAGGTTCTTGTCCGTTGAACTGATTGCACGGGAATGCCAAAATTCTTAATCCTGAAAATAATTAACAATTGACAAATGTGTCGATTGTGTATTTAATTCATTTATTGATTCAATATACCTTTTGATTCAGCATATTGATCGTAAAGTTCATTTAATTCTTTGTAGTTAGTGGCTGTGAGACCGCACTTTGAAGCAACATTTACGATCAGCAGTACGTGCCCCTTATACCTAAGATTAACATTAATAAAAGTAAGATACTGACACTGATAGTAATTTTACAAAATTTGCAAAAGCGTTAAGTAATTTTTAATGGTTTACCAATTTGAAAATAAAATTCAAGTTTCAATAGGATTCATTTGTACATTTCCTGTTTCGAACGGTTTCGTTACGAATTGATGAATTGATCAATCAAAAAACTTGTGAATAATTGATAAATGCGGAAAGTAACTTACTTTGCCAATGGCACATCCTCCCCTTTGATATTTTTAGCCACGAAATCGTACACTGACTTGGCAGACTTGTAATCTTCGTTTCCGCTCATGACTGAAAAAGACAATATCATTAATAAAATTGATCGCGATTGCTTTTATATTTCAGTTTCAACAAAACAACTGTTTCTTTAAAGAAATCAATAGTCGTTAAATTACGAATAAATCGATACTTTAGAGAAAGCCATCAAGCATGCCAGTTTATTACTAGTTTTCTTCCGTTTTAGTACGTCAAAAACACTTTTAATAAACAACAGAGTGTTACGTGCTTCAATTCGACATATATAAATGAATGTTTCGAAATTATTCAAAGCCTAAATGGATTCTACTTAGAGCGGCTAATACAATTGGTACGTGCCTGAGAAATTTCGCACTAAATGCTGTAGTCCGACTGGAAATAAGGTCTTTCTCAAAATATACATTCCGTCTGTTTTTTTATGTTTTTACAAGTTTTCTTTAAGTGCAAGATGATAATCCTGAAATGTTCGGTGCAATTAACAACATGACAGACAAAAGAAGTTACACAGCGACTCGCGAGAGAGGAAAAACAATATTTACGCGTTATATGTCAAACAATTTTTATTCCACTTTCTAATAAATATATCTGTACGTAAGTGGAAAAATCAATTTTACCAACGTCCTCGTAGAAAATAGTTTATAATAAACGCTATAACGATTGGCTCTTGTATGTAGGTACAGGCTTCAATTTACCAAAAGACTGCGATATGAAATTATTCAAAGGCCATCTTGTTGTTTACAAAGTTTGCAATTTTTGCTATTAAGCTTAAATGTTAAACTAAATTCCAATTGATAACAATAAAAAACAAAAACAAAAATAAAGAAAAAATCGCCGGTAACATCTGTCAAGTGCCGAACTATCGAGATGCTGCGGGGAGAGAACGCCGACGCCACCTGGCGTTTGCAGGACCCAACCTTTTGCACGCAACGATCTTTCTCTTGTTCACGAGCGCCATTGGATTTTCTCGCGCAACAATTCGCGACAAACTCCACCCATTACGTCAACTATACTTTCTCTCTTTGTTGATACTCACTTTAGAATCAATCTGTGCTTTGACAATAATTTAAAAGAGTTTCGTAAAAGATCACGTAGAAAAGGTTAAAAAACAAATATTGGATGAGCAATTTCTTCGCGTTGCTGTGTCTGGGCATCAACTGACTCGGTCTCCCGTTCGCCGGTAAAACTATGCGTATGTGCGTGTTGCATGCGCCTGCGCGAAAAGGAAAAGTTTGCGTGACTCGAGACTCGATACTGTACACTGTTATTTTCTCGATCGCGAGCGTAATTATTGTCTTCAGTTGTCAATTATCGCTTCTAATGACTTCTTTTTCCATCTGGCATTCGTCGTTTGTATGCTCGACGATTCCAACCTATTATGGTGACGTTGCATTTGTTCGAGCGAGATAAGTTAACTTTTTTACTCCGAAATGTACTGATTATAATTTATTACGTACGACCATTCAATTATTGAATAACATCAAGCAAGAGAGTGACTCATCGGTTTACCTACAGCACAGTGAACTTTGTATAGGATCTGCACTGATTGTTCAGCAATCAGCTGACGATATAAATTTATACGTTACTTACCGCCCGAAGTAAAATCAGAAGTGAAATATAATGCCAGAATAGATAAGACACCGGCAACGAAAATAAACTTGAGAATATGCTTGACTTTGATGCAAGACAGAATGTTCTGACTGAGCGTTGACTCGTCCCCTTTCATATTGGAACTGTAAATGATGTGCAACGCCATGTAGACACCAATTCCATCTCTCGTGCGACGGGTCAACTACAGAATGCTCTTCGAAATTTTTGCAAGTTCACGTTAACGCAAACTTGACCTCGAATATTGCTCCGAAAACTCTGACGGATACTTGTGTAAGTGGAGATGTCGACGATAATGAAAAACAAATACTTTCGATATTTAATGACTGCTGATGCTCTGAAAGAAAGCTTGTAGCAAGGTTACGAGCTCGTATTATCAGTTTGCCCAATTGTCCAATTGCAAGGACAGAAATTCACCGCGCGCTACAACAAATAGAAAAGTAACATGCCCACAATAATCATATCGGTAAACATTCTTTATGCTCATGATTGTTGCAGCTGATAGAACCTACATATCGCCTCGAGCGAACGCGTTCGTGCCGCGTCGAACGACTGTCTATTAATTATTCACAAGCAGCGGTTAAAGTTCTAACTGTAGTGTTAATATCGGAAAATCGATCGCAAAAACTCTTCTGAGAAAAATATAAGATAATTGTGAAAAAAAAGTGGTTCGGCGCGATGTCTAATCGAACTGTTATTAATGTTGCAGTACACTCGTACCATGGAAAGTGTTCAGGCACGAGTTGAATCAGGTTCACCCTATAAGCTCAGGACTGCAGGCGATGGCGTTGAAGTCAACGATAGACCTCACGTGCAACGGCTACATATCCAACTTCGAGTTCGACGTTTTCACAAGGTACACCGTTGGTCGCTTGAATTGCACGATGAAATGCGACAGCCATCTAACTTGTGTGTGTATTCAACAGGTTGTTCCAGCCGTGGTCGTCATTGCTACGCAACTGGAAGATCCTCGCGGTGACGCATCCCGGTTACGTGGCTTTCCTCACGTACGACGAAGTGAAGGCGCGTCTGCAAAAATATTGCATCAGCAAGCCCGGTAGCTACGTGTTCCGGCTAAGCTGCACGAGGCTTGGGCAGTGGGCCATCGGCTACGTCACTTCGGATGGTGACATTCTGCAAACCATACCGCATAATAAGAGCCTTTGCCAAGCGCTGCTTGATGGCTATCGGGAAGGATTGTTAGTAACTCAATTTTATTTATTTTTACTCTGAGTAAATACATTTATCTTTGACTTGGTGTTGCTACAAATTTGTAAAGCCAGTCAAGGTATAATAAACGATCAGGGAATTGGTCATGAAATCTCAAAGATATCTTACATAGTTCACGAAGAATTGATCCATTTGAAATTAATTTAATGTGCCAATGGAAAATCATAATTATTTACGTACTTGTTATTAATGCTAAAATAAATAATATTTCATTTTCTATGGCATATATATTTTGTGCTGCTGTTTTATTTTAGCGACAAAATTTATAAGAGAAAAATTTTTTATAACTTTTATTATTCTTGTTATTATTATTACTATTACTATAAAAAATGTTAGGGAATTTATAAAGTAGTAACTCTATAGCAACAGGCTATAGGGTTTGATCGAAAACCTCTGAATACTTTATTTCTAACAACCTTACACTTACAATCTCACAGCTACCTGTATCCAGACGGTCGCAATGCAAATCCAGACCTCACGTGGGCGGTGCAACCGACACCTGAGGAGCACATTAAGGTCACTGCCGAGCAGTACGAGCTCTATTGCGAAATGGGTAGCACTTTTCAGCTGTGTAAAATCTGCGCCGAGCACGACAAAGACGTACGGATAGAACCCTGCGGACACTTGCTCTGCACGCCATGTCTCACCGCTTGGCAGGTAGCAGTGCCTTTTTCCATAGTTATTAGTTTATTATACGACAAATTTATGAATATTTAATCATTTATTGCAATAATTTTAAGCTGTAAGTCAGGTCTATACTGAAATCGATTGTGAAAAGTGCTACTTTTAATTTTTTTGATCAATAAATGATCTTATTTAGTGAACTAGCTGAAAAGTCCAGTGTACCTCCATTACTTATACTGTACAATAGATTTTACTAAGTTCCTTAGCTTTACAAGCACCATAAACTTTTCGTAATAATAATAATAAGACTGTAGCACATCGATTTCGTATGGCCTTAGATAACTTTACTTGCTAATACTTGGGGTCAATCAAAATCACTGTAACTTGAAAATAATAGCTGTACGAGCGAAAAAGTTCCAATGAAACTATAGAATCGCAATTCTTTCATTCACAAACTATAGCCAACTCAAGTTGTTCATTATTTAGTTATACTTCTAATTGAAAATGTATTCCACTGCGTTCAAATGTGTTTCTGTAATATTTTTTATAATGACTATTTTTATTGTCTTATCTAGTAATATATTTGCCAATTTATCAGTTTGAGCTAGTTAATTATGGATACGCTCGTTCTGACTAATAAACGTGTGGAAACAAAAAGTAATCTTTACTTGTATATATTTAACTTTACATGTATTTATAACGTGAGAATAATTCTCGATCTTTATTTTTTATTTTCTTAACGATCTGATTTTTTTTCACAGGATTCCGAAGGTCAGGGTTGTCCATTCTGCCGAGCGGAGATAAAGGGTACCGAACAGATTGTCGTCGATCCATTTGATCCACGGCGGACGCATCGTCAAGGTGCTCAATCTGCCACAGCAAGTAACTCGTCGACACCGACTAAGGATTTGGATCCCGACACCGAGGTATCTGACTAGGGCACAGCAGAACGAAATACGCCTTATCTCTTTTTTTACTCTTTTTATTTTAACGGCTCCCTCTGTCCTGATTTGCTGTATGTCTTTTTTTTTGTTTGTTCTTGTGTGTGATGCCTGTGTTCGAACATTAACAGGCACTTATCGATGTAATTCATTTTGTTTATTTTCAATTGGTAGGTTTAAAATCACAAAAATTTACTAATCATCGAAAAGTGCCTGATCTAATGCTGCATAAATAATATTATTTCTCGCCAATACCATACTTCTGCGCAAATAATCTAAAACAAAATAAAAAAAACTCGAAGCTTTGTCGCATACTGAAAAACTTTTGAATGGCCTGAAAAATTGCTTTTCAAGACATTTTTGTGTGTCACTGATTAATTCTCGTCTTGAAAGCGTAATTATTTTGTAGCTTAAAACTCGTTGAATCTTAAAATTATTTAATTATTAAAATAGAAATTAGTTACTTAAGTGCTTGCGAGAAAAAAGTATTCCGATGAATTATTGATGCTTTCACGTATTACAATCGATGTATTGAATGGCATTGTTTTGTCTTAGGAAGACTTAAACTATAAAATCAATTTTTTATAATTGAATTATTTTAACCGTGGGAATAATTTATTCTTTTCTATTCGGTGGAATGAAATTATTACCTCTTTAATTAAAAAGAGTAAAATTATTCCTTTTATATTTTATCTTTGCTACGTAGTAAATCTTGTGTGATAAAATAGATATCTCGATGTCTATGCTTGCACGAAAATGAGGTAAGGTAGATTTGAGATCATTCAAAGAATAAAGAAAATATCTCATTGCCATCAGCCTACTTTATGAACCATTATGATATTTTTATATAAAATAAAAGTTCACTATACAAAAAAAAAATTTTTCATAAGTTTCATCATAGGTTGATTTGAAATAAATAATTATGTTTTCGAATCATATTGATTGACTATACAGTATCTCTTATTTATAATTTTTAAAACTTACAAAAATGATCGTCCTCGAATGCTTATCTAATAGTAGGTAATTGCTTTGCATGCATATGTTAATATACACCAAGAACAATTTTGTAGTTAAATTATTTTTATTAAAAGATCAACACTTTTAATTAGCATTACAAGATTCAATTTTAAATCTCACCTTACTCTCATTACGTTTAACGAGATGATACTTCAAAATAAAAATGCAAATTTGAATTATTTTATATACGGTTTTAAATAGATGGTTTTTTATAAGCAAATTATTGGTGCTTAAGGGGATGTTAGAGATTTTAAGAACTTGCAAAATAGTCCTTCGAAAAATTTTTAATTGAAATATCGTGGTAGGCAATTGTGGAAATCTTATTTTCGTCGTTGATCAATTCCATTAAAAAACTTGTATATTATAAAGATTAAAGTTTGTAATTTGAATAAATCAGGTGCCAAACCGTTGTTTGATTTTTGGCGATTACTCGAATTGCATTGCGAATTTAAAAATTGTTATTACTCTAAGTATTAGGAAATAAATGGTTAGGATCTTGAAAAAAACGTTTTATAGCGTCAGAAAAATGCCATCTCATCACATCAGCTGTAAGCCGTTCATTTTCAGTTTCTTAAAAATTTCAATTTGAATTGTTAATATTAAAAGTAAAGTGTGAATGGCAATTTCGCGGTCGTAAAATCGAAAATTTCTTGAATCAGTATACATATCAGTACAGCTGTAAATGAGATGGTTTAAATATTTTCTGCACAATCAATAAAAATATCAATATTTATACGATGAAGTATATTTAGAAAGTTTTAATACCTTTCTTCAAAGCTCATTTTTACATATATCTATGATCACTTTATCGTCCATCTCAATCTACGAAAACATAATACGACAATCAAATTGTTATTTGTGCAATAGGTAAATACCTGTAGCTTGACTAAGGTGTCGCAGCGCCATGTATTACGGAAGTGACGCAACAAAGTTAAATGAATTTTATAAAGCCTGATGTCTAGCGTTTACATAAAACTTTTTTACTTTTCTGTAAAATAGTAGAATACATGACAAGCAATTTCTAAATAAAACCTATGTTAACATTTATTTGAGTTTTGCTATTATTTGCTTTTATCCCGTTACTCATTATCTACAATTGACGACGCATGAAATCTATTGGCTTTTAATTTTAGATGAAATATCCGATTATAAAACCGAAACATAATATATAAATGATACTTAATCCACCTAAGGAAGAATCGTAGCATGAGAAGATCAAAAGAGTTCATTAATAGTGCTACATTTTGCAGAAAAGACGCTTTATAGTTCCGTTTGTCTTGTCCGCATGATTTTTCCCCTTTGAGTAACGTTTTTATTTCTTTTGATTTATTCCATTGTGTGTTGTTCAAACTGGAAAAATCGCCTGCATGATATCGTACTAATCGTATATCCAAAACACACTGTACATAAAGTGAATAGTCATATTTACCAGTCAACCGAGTCATCAAAATTGATAAGTAAGTACAATCTGCCGAATGAAACGCATTTTTTGCTTTACCTCGCTTATGAGCTTACAACATCTGATCTATAAATTTTTCTAAATATTATTTTATTGATAGTTTTAACGTACTATTGTTGATAATTTTATTTTTATTTTGTACTTATTTTGTAAAATACCAGAACAAATAACTCGGTCACGCTGCCATCACGATAATATTCGCTAAAAACTTTTTTTTTATCATCGAAAAATTTTTAAATTAGGATGAGAAAAATAATGTTTCCAGGCAATAATGGAACTAATAAATGGCAACGGCAATTCTTTATCGGACGAAGAGGATGACTCTTCACCAGCAACGTCACCGCCGCCATCCCGACGAATAGTACCAAGTCCACCACTGCCACCACGACGATCATCGCCATCGCCTACATCAAACCAACCGATTATACGGAACAACGCGACCGGCAGACATCTCGCCGTGCCCAAGGAGAATGCACCTCCGCCGCCGGCGAGTACACAGCAGCAGCAATCTACGGCGCCGCCTGCCGTTACGGTTATTCTGTCGGCAAATAACGATAATGTTACACCGAACAACAAAGGTGAGAGACCGAATGACCTTTCTTTTAATATAGTGCAATGTAATGATGTTTCAAGAATGCCTTTGCGTTTTATGTGAAAAACAGTCGCTTGATTAAGGATTAAAGTTAAGAATGATAAGTTATCAAACGGAAAGCAAAGGCTACAAAAATGCTTCTATCGCGATTATCTGCTCATAGGCAATGAAATCTTAAACAAAATACATTCGTGAAGGAAACGGAAAAACGCAATTTTTTAATAAAATATGTCCAATATATTCTTGATAATTGACATTATTATGTACACTATAAAAATTATTAACGTAGTCGCTTACAAAACTGTTTAGACGCTTCGAGATAACCAATATATAGCTTTATAAAAATATAAAATAGTCATTCAAAGATTTCTTCAAAAATCTTTTTTTTATCGACTACACAGGAAGACCTAGCGCGCTCAAAACTCTCATATACATGCAATGAAAACTTTCACTTGATATCCTTTTCAAGGTGAACGGCTCTCGATTACATATGTATATATTTATAAAGGAATATCAAAAGAATGCAGCTCGGACTGCTTCCAAGGCAAGTGTTTCGATGTTAATTACCGCAAACGCTGCAAGAATATTTTACTGTGCTGCATTTTCATTAACTTTGAAAGTCTTGTGAAAAAATTTTTAAAGATGTTAAATTAAAATCTATACTGGTAAAAGGGAAAAATGGTACACGTTGTCAGTGGACTGTTGTTCTTCCTTGATTTTACAAAAATTGTGGCATCTCTACTTATTATATTAATTCACTCCATTCACACTCATTACCATAATTACTACATAATATTTGTCTCGTGCGTATTATTACTGTGCATTGCGTCATTATGCTGCATTGAAACGAAAGAAAAAATATCAAATCAACAAATTGAATATTTCGAGTCACGCAGTTCCAAACTATAAAAGTAACAGTCTAATATTTAAGTACAAAACCATTATAAAAATCAAAATTTACACAATTGGAGATAATTTCGTGATAACAAGCGTGTCATTCGTCGTAATTCATTTTTAATAAAAACAAAATGTAATCAAGTATACTCTACGAGAGATAACTGCATTAAGTGCAAAAAATATATAATCTGTAATAAAAGTAACAATTTGAAAGCGATATCAACTGAACGATCGTTGTCTTAAACAATAAAAATAACTGTATGTTCATTATATCGAACAATTTGTAGAATGTAAAAGCTCTTAAGATAAAAGTATCAATGTTGTCTCGTGAAAACTCGGCGGAGCGTTTAGGATAAAAGCAAAGGTCCTTTGAATGTCTTGCCCTTGGCAATCTGCTCTAAATTCTCGCCGGCATAGGACAGGAGCGGGCATATTTCCACGTCGCCGTCGACTTTTTCCGCTCCGGCATTGATTAGCCATTTCTTATGCAAAGTCAACAGATCGTTTCTAGAAGTGGAGGGGCAATCGATAGCCGCCGCGTCGGAATTCTTCAGAGCGCTAAACTCCTCGTCTCGCAACACTTCCCAAACGGCAAAACTCTTGGAGAACCTAAACACGTCGAAGACGAATTTCTCGATCTTGATGCCGTTCGGCGCGGTGGGCGTGCGCCGTTTGCCGTCGTCGCCGACGCACGGAATCCTCTTCTTGGCCACGTGCAAGTCCAGCTGCTCGAGGTGCCTGTCGCAGAGCCTGTCGAGGAACTCGAGCGTGAAGTAGTGATTGCAAATGTTGCCCGCGCTGTAAACGAGCTTGCCAGCCGCGTCCGTGAGCTGGGCGGTGCGGGACGAGATCTCGCTGTACTCGACCACGGCGTACTGGCCGTCCACGAGGCTTATGACGCCCACCGGCTCGTCGGCCGATCGCTTGCTCACGGCCTTGGCCCCGCAGTCGGCTCGGCGCGCCAGGCAGTAGCCGACGAACACGGGGTCGGCCACTTTCACCAGGATGTTGTCCACTGAGAAGGCGTGCACGCTGTTGATGCCGCGGCGCCGCATGTCCTCGAGGACGCCCTCGCGCAGCAGCGAGGCGTAGAGGCCGCCGTTGCCGTCGGGCGCGCGCGATATCCGGTACTTGCTGTCGAGCATGATGCGGCCGTCGAGCGCGAAGCACGGCAGCGTGCTCTGCTTGAACGCCATCACGTTGGCTCTGCCCACGCCGAAGTAGTCGTTCTCCGCGAAGTACTCGAGCGTGGGCTCGTGCGTGGCCTCGCTGGTCATCAGATACCAGGCCACGCTGCCGCTCTCGCCGAACCGCTCCCTGGCCAGCTGCTCGAGCCTGCGGATCCTCGCGGCCTGGATCTGGAAGAGAGTCCGCCGCGACGGCAGACTCACGTCGTACATACCTTTCGGATAGTCGACGCCCAGCCTCGTGCCCTGACCGCCCGCCATCAGCAGCACGGCCACCCGACCTCTCGACACCTCTTCGAGCCCGAGATGCTCGTAGCGCGACGTTTCCCGGGACGTCGTCACCGAGTCGAAGGCATCGCTCGGTATCGGCTCCAGCTTGTCGTCCAGCTGTCTCTTCGTGTCGTTCGAGGCTACGGCGCGGTGAAAGTACGCGTTCATGCGCTCGAGGTCGAGCTGCCTTATTTCGTTAGCCAGCGACTGCTGCTCGTCGGCCGACAGCTCGTCCCAGAATCGCAGCAGCTGCTCCTGTCCGTGCTCGCGCAGCAGAGCTTGCAGTTCAGCGTGCAGCGACATGCCCGCGCGCGCTTTCACGGCTACAACACACAAACGGAAAGACTGGAGGGGACCTTGGACTTTGAGGTTATCCGCGCATAAGGGCGCGCGAGCCGACTCGCGAGGTTAACGACCGGCGCAAACACAGCGACGAGCCCGCCGAGGATCCGGCGCATCGACGCGGCCCACCACCACCACCACCTGTCAAGTGCTTTGCTCGTGCTAGCAGACGATGTACGGCACGCGCGCGCGAAAACACACATACACACACACACACATACGTGTACTCGTTGTTATCGGCGACGATGAACGACGTGCGCGCGAACGCACGGCTTGGGGGATTTCGGGAGCCACAGGTGTGTCGTCGCACTCGCGGCTACGTGAGAACAGCGACTGTCAGCCGGTGAAAGCCGCGATAAACGCGGACGCGTTTCGCCAGAGAGACTCCCGTCAGCTCCCGTCGCCGACTCCTCTCACATTCGGAGAGCATCGACCGCCACGCCAACACCGTGGGACGCGGAAGCGCATGCGCAACGCATGGCCGCGAGAGATAAGGCGCTCGCGCGACCAGGCCGTCGTGTAATGCTCTTTGCGAAACGCGCGTTGGAAGATGCCCGCACTGGCCGATCAAAAGTCACCGCAGCAATGTTGTCGAAAGCTCGCGGCCAATTGCCGACCGACTTGGGAGATGAACGCGACGGTTGCGGCTACTGTCGTTCCGGAAGGATCACTTTTCAAACGTCCACCGTGAATTTGCAGCCAACAGCGAGGCCAGATACGACATGCTTCACCGAGCGTCGTCGCTGTCGCCAGTGGCACCAGCGCCGCCGACGGTGATAAGGCCGCACAGCGCGAGGCCCGCGGCGATCGCCAATCGGGCCACGGTGCCGCCGGCTCTGCCTGAGAAATCGGCCGCGAGGACGGCGATGCAGCCATCGGTACCGCCGCCGCTGTCCATCGCCAGGCCGCCCAAACCAAAGGACAGCCAGAAACAGGACCACCTCTACGAGAACACCATCATGATCGCCGGCACGAAGCAGCACGTCGTGAAAAATATCAATCTCGAGGTGGGTGCACGGACACGGTGCTCGAGCTTTCTTTCCTCTGGTTGGATTATAGACAGTGGCATGGCTCATTTTTAGATTGCACTGTTGCCAACGAATAGTCGATTTTTTTCATTACGCGAAATCGATGTTCGTCCGTACGATATCTTAAAGCTACTCGAGATCGGTTGACTGCTTTCGCTCAAAGAAATTTTAGTTTTCTAAAATAGTTGAGAAATAAGAGAAATTTTGAGATTCCCGTCTGTTTTCAAATTTCATAAATGGCAAATTGTATTTTGCATCACCGCAGATGAGTAAAGAGCGACTGACAGCACTGATGAAAGGCAAAGACGAAAGCGGCAGGCCGATACCGAAGACCACGGAGAACGCCGCCTACGAAAATATCAACGTCGAGCATATATCCAGACTGATGGCGCTCGGCTTCGCCCAGGATGCTGTCATCCGAGCGTTGGGCATCACGAGGAACGACCTGGAAATGGCCTGCGACATTCTTCACGAGTTCGCGCAGAAATCTTCCTGACCAGGTAACGTCAAATCGAATTCGAAGGCGACGCCGAGACGGCGAATGTCTGACCGCAACTGTTCTCGTATTTGTTGCACAGCAAGCAACGGCGAGGAGTCCTGACCACCGGTACCGGCCAGGCGATATTTATGACGGGGGGCTCGTATTATGAAAAACAAGAATTACCTACCTCCGCTGCAAGCTGATAACAATTGACACGTTGGCCTTCTATGAGCGAAGAACACTCGTTTATGAAGATGGCCGAACGAACGAAGATTTCATTTTTTTTTTCAAAAGAGGCGCGTAGACTAGAAAATCGTGTAGAGCTTTTAGGAAAAGCTATTCTCTGGTTTTTCTGTTCACACTTCGTTCGATCGCCTTGTCGTCGCTCATCATCATACATTGCTTTCGCGATTTAACATAAATTAACAAAAGCAAACAAACGACCAGTCCGACTTTATCTCTGTACATTGCGACATGTGTAGATATTTTTTGCGAATGACGTAGTTGACGAGATGGACGTTTGTCTCATGGGAGACGAGAGGATGAGACTGAGCTTTTCTTTTTTCCTGGGGCATATTATTTTGTTATACTTTGTTCGTCTGTCTTAATCTATGATGTTAATTAGTACAACTGTTGCATCGAAAATATCGGAACACACGCTAGTTCTGCATTGTAGTTACTTGTGAATGAACGACTGCAACTTTTCTTGAGAATGATTAAATTTTCTTGATATTGTGCAATTTTCGAAATCATTATTTACAAATCAAATAGAGATGAACACTTCCCGAATCTGTTAAATGCCAGAGGCTAATAATTTTTTTTCTTCGAGCTTGAAATCGCAAATCAATCTCTTATAATGTATATATTGAGCCTATGCTTATAAATCGATCAAACAGTATACGTTTATGTAACATCAAAACTGACACATTTAGAGTTTTTGAGCAAATATATATATATATATATATATATATGTACAAAGATGTTCTTAGTCTTTTATATAAACGACCAATGTTTAGACTTGTTCAATAATTGTCAACTTTATTAGCATCTTGTAAAAATACTAAAGTTAGAAAAACCGTCGATAGGAATTTGTTGACGATACAATGATGAATTTGATTTAGCTAAACATCATGCAATAAATTAATTTTTTATTTAAAAGAAAGAAACTCACAACGTATAGCGAGTTTTCCGATATTTTTATGCTATTCCAGAAGTTGTAAAAAGTTATATAACATTTTGTCACGTATGTATAATTTGAATGTATATATAGTATCGGTTTATTATCGCAAAAATAATTTCAATCATTTGATTGAATCGAAAGAAAAAGGTCCAGATTTTTATCGTAATTTCTTTCGTTTAGTCGTTAAATTAACTTTTATTTAGCTTGAAATTTTATGCATCTTCTTAATTGAATTTGTGCTGTAACACATACTTTGGAATAAGTTATTTATTACTTATTAAGATTTTTCTATACGAATCTCTATGAGTGAGAGTGCGAATATAATTATGAATTTAAAAAAAAAACAAGTAAAAGTAGACATTTTTTATTGGAAGTACACTCTTACTATAAGTTACCTCATTAGAACATTTAATCATTCATATATCAATCGTTAAAAATAACTATTGCATATTTCATATTTATTTATTGTATTGAAAAATATTGTGATATTTAAGTTTATTCTTGTATGTGTCTTTCTTCACCATTCATAATCAAATAATTTTGCCCCTATGTATGTAAAAATAAATAGTTCAACGTTGCTGTCGATCAGCCAATGAAAGAAATGAAACACATTTTAACAAAGGACAGTGCATTTACTAACTCTAATATTTATGAGTGATAGATCGATTGAATTTGTGCTAGAAATAATTTCAGCTGCAATGCTAGTAAATAACTCCTTTTTTTATATTATACTCATTGACGCATAGTTCAAAAATCATAAATAAGAAGCTAAATATTTTTCTACTAGTAAATCCAATTTCGTCATCGTTGATTCATCAATCATATCATACAGAAATGCCATCATAAAGTATTGTAGTTGAATATATTCTATTAAATAATCGTGTTAACAAAAAATAAAAAATTTGTATGAGATTACATCTAAACATTTGTTTATTGTTTTGTCCTTCTTATAATACTGTTCAAAAAGTATATGTATTTACAACTTTAATGGTAAGTTTCTTGCATCACAAATATACAAAAAATTAATGAAAATTCCTTAAGACAATCTGAAAAAAGTGCAACCTTGATTGAAACAGGAACAAATTGTTGTTGTACTAATGAATTATAATAATGTTCAGAGAATTGGATTTGCAGTTGATCCATGTAAACATTTATCTGGTTATAGTTTTCATTCATCATTAAAAAAATTGACAATATTGTCGCAGAAGTAAATGATCTTCAAGTTCATTAACTATGTATCTCTTTCTAACTTTCAAAAGTACAATTAACTACGACTATCTATCAAAGTGTCAATGTTCAAGTTCTTTCTTGAATCTGTTATCAATGAAAAAGAAAAAAAGAAAAAGAAAAAACGCTAGTAATGCAATACTTGTAAAAACCTTCTTCCTTTTAAGATTACGTAAACATCGATAAAGATGTCAATGATGTCAATGGTTATTATAACAATTTTACCGTGAAACAATTGTCATTAATGTTTTAGTAAAAATGGACAACTTTTATTGCTTTGAAGTAGAAACTTCTATTACTAACATCATTTCACTGCAACGCTGCGTATAAAAAACACCTAACAAACAAACATAAAACATCTGTACATCCCTTTATAGTATATGAGATAATTCAAAAATTTATTGATTAAAGCAAGAGTGTTTAATTAAAAGTTTTAAAAGACGTTCATTTATACTGCCAATGTCATAACTAGAAAACATTAAAAAATTTACTGTACCAATTGTTTATTTGTCAAGTCATGTTAAAAAAAGAATTTTCTTGCAGTATATCAAGTCTTATGTGTAAATGACTGTTTAATTAGACTCAAATTACGAAAATATGTTACACGAAGCGTGATTGAAAAATGAAAACAAAAATTATAATTCGATACTAAGCACCTGACTAATTAAATTTCTGATCAGCGCACCAGACTAGTAAATGTAATGTCCTATTTTTCTACATTGAATATTATCGTTATTGTATCCTGTAATGTGTTATTATTCATGTATGAGTAAGTTATCTAGAGTTATTTAATTAAAAAGGGAAAAACGAATGATTCAGGGCCTTGAAAGCTTTGAACGAAGAACTATTAGAACAGTCATATTATTGTAACTTAGAAATTAAATAATGAATTACCTATGTGGTGCAATACATAGTGTAAAGTTTTTCTTAATTTAATCATCGTCTGTATAAATTATTTTATGTATTTCTCGAAAATAAATAACACATTTACAAAATATATTTCAGTAATATTTACTTTTTTATTTCTGAATCAAATCAAACCTGAAATAATTTTGATAGATCAGATGTTCAGTAGAAAAAATCAATGTGCGATCAAGCATTTTTTAATAAAATTATGCATCATTATTACAAATTCAATGTCGAAGTAAAAAAAACAAAGTAATCTGAAATCTATACTCTAAAACAACTTTAAGCTATCTCTTAAATCGGGAACGGTAATCAGAAAAATATATAGTTATTAGATTTTATAGTAATAAATTTCTTTCAAAAATATATTCTACATACAAAACATCATATTATATAATAAGAATTCTACATTTATACGATCATAAAAAATAATCAACATCACCTAGAAGACAATTCTTGTCCAAGTCTTTCATATCTTAACATCTCCTCCTTGCTAACGGATGGCACCAACTCCTTCGTAGCGTACAAAAAATCATCCAACTTAACAATTACGTCTTCGCCCCTTACTTTCTCTCTACCAAGGCTTTTATCAATTAAAATCCTCTTCACGGCTCGAAGCCAAGCATTAGAGCAAACAGAATACAAGTCAGCCCCAGTCAAATTCGCTGGTAGCTTTTCAACTAACTTTTTCAATTCGTCGCCATTCTCTTCCATTCGGAATTGTCTGGTCAGTGCCTTCAATACACTCATTTGTGAGTCGAGGTCCGCATATAGACCTACATATAGCATCTTGTCAAATCGACCAGGTCTTAGCAATGCAGGATCAATGAGATCTGGCCGATTAGTTGCCGCGATGATGAAAATACTGCCTGTACTCTCAAGACCATCCATCTCGGCTAAAAGTTGTGAAACTACGCGGTCCATTACTCCACCGCTGTCACCACTTTGACCTCTGTTTGGTGCAAGTGAGTCTAGTTCGTCGAAGAAAATTATGCAAGGTGCTGCTGCTCGGGCTCTCTCGAAGACTGTTGCATAATTTAATTAATATTATTGAATAATATAATTAAAACATTTAATGTTTTACGGTTTTAAATTTTCTTTCAAAACTTGAAAAGAATACCCACTTTGCCGAACATTCCTCTCGCTTTGACCAACATACATGTTCAACAATTCAGGCCCTTTCACAGATAGAAAGTGCAGTTGACACTCAGTTGCAACTGCTTTGGCAAGTAAAGTTTTACCAGTTCCAGGTGGCCCATACAAAAGAAGACCAGACCTTCTCATTCCAGGGATATTTAGCAAAGGCATCTCAATTCTACGCATGATTTCTTTCTTCAGATCCACCAATCCTCCAATATCCTCCCAATGAACCGTTGGGACTCGTGGTACCCCAAGTTGATCAGAAAATACTGATTGCATGTGTTCTATATATAATTTTAATATAATTGTTAAATGGACTGTTGTTTATATAGTTTATCAAAATTTGAATTACATACCACATGCATGTACAAAGTCATCGTTAGATATCATCATTTCGTTCACATTTTGCAAATGATTTCTTCGTTTGAAACAATTTTTTACTGCATGTAAAACGAGTGCTTCTAGATCAGCCAACACGAAGTCAGAGCAGAGTTTGGCAATTTTTTGCAAATCTACGTCATACTTTAAACCTTTAGTTCTCATAAGCCATATTAAAACTTGACACCTTTGCTCTAGTTCTAAACGATCTATGCTGATTGTTTCGACAAAAGTTCTCTCTGAATCTATTGGAATTTCTGATTCGCTAGATGTTGCGATTATAATTATTGGATAATTTCGTTTTTTATTGAATAACTTTTTAAGCTCTGTTGTCAAGGCAGACAAAACTCGTTCGTCTTTTTGACCTTCTGAATTTATTCCAAAAATCTAAAATAATAAAAGGACAATAATTATTCTTCAAAATGTCGTTTATTCATTGAAAATAAATATTTTTTTTTCAATTCTATTACTTGAATATTTTGAAGCATGATTATACACGGAACACAAGTTTCAGATTCATGGAGAATAATTTTAAGTTTAGCTTCGGTTTGGGCTGATGTGAGTGACTGAACTTCTGAAACATCAGCTTCTAGTAAATGAAAACCTAATGATTCAGCAGTAGCTTTAACAAGACGAGATTTCCCAGAACCAACTGGACCATTGACAAGAAATACAGGGTTCACATCAATGAAGATATCTGTAATTATATTATTAAAAAAAATCGAACTATGAATGATACACATTGCAAAAAAAATTAGACCTTACCTTTTTGTAAAAATGGATCAATACACGACTGCAAGTTCTGAAGGGTTTCTCTCATTATTGGTGGCCAATAATTAGATGTATTTTTAATTGCATCAAACGATACATTACAGAAGCATTTACGTGGAAGATAACTATTTACATTAGATTCTTGGATTACAGTAGTTTTGCCGTAAACAGCAAAATTGCCATTTTTGCCATTTATTTTGTTTTCAGTATTCACTTTATTAACTTTAAAATACAAAATATCCAAATTTGAATCAACTATGTAGTATTTAAATTCTGGTAAATAACTTTTAAAGTCAACTTTGATAATGTCATTTTCTCTGAGATATTTTGGAGTAGTAAAGTAACTTTGTAAAGCATCATTCAGCAAATCTTCATTATAATTATAAGGATTATGAATCAAAGATACCTTCACTTCTGTAGCAAAACTTGTAACATGTTCATTAATTGGAACTGCCAAACAAAAGGAAAGCAATCAGTTTATGATGTATATTACAAAATAATTAAGTATTTAATAACATCATTATACCTAAGAAGTATAAACTTTCATTTGAATTTTCTGTATTAAATTGTTTGACAATATTATATTTCATACTTTCAGAAACGTAAATCACAGTTCTTGGGATGTCCAAAATAGATATGATGGCTACTTTATATCTTTTTTCTGATGTATTGCAACATAAATAAAACCACTTTTGTTCTCTATCAATTATATTAGGGTTACATAGAACATACAAATTTTCATCAATGTGAGACTGAATAGACTGTCCATGTGTCTTTATTAGATATGAAAAAATTTCATCTTGAATACAATATAACTTCAGCTGCATCTTTAGCAATTGATCTATTTTATTCAGAATGTAATAAATAAAAAATAATTTATGTGCTATTTTTGAGCTTCTCACAAGTTTTGTTAAATATATTGCTAGTTTCACTAGATTGATTATAGAATACTTCATAGTACTATCTGATTATTTAGAAATATCCCCTTTATCTAACTTTTTCTGAAACAACTTGTTTATACAATTATTAGAACGGCTTATTTTTGCAATTTGGAACTAGATGTATTACTCATATGTAAAATATTACGAATTTGCATAAATTAGTGTGTTTGAAAATTTGAGACAATACATATAATTTGAACGTAAGGCTAATGTTAGTTTATTGTTATTAATCACTGGATTCATTATATAATTACATGTATGATCGACATCATACATGTCATTTTAGAGTTTACTATTTATTTTTTTGAAATTCGATGTCAAAATATTTATATTGTAAATGAATAAATTCAGAAAAATTTATATTATAAACGAAAAGAGAATGAGTGCGCAATAAATATACCGCGATAACAATTTACAATTAATATTAATATAAGTAAAAAAATGTAATGTTAAACGCAAACCTTTAAAAGAGCCGGGCGTAATGTGAGGTTAACTTCTTAACCTTAGTAACATTTTAATCATTTTATGCACTATATATGCAGCCACCTGTATCCTTTCACAAATCATTAAGAAATGAGTTTTAGATAACGTAAAATGTTATCACTTGAAAATAAAACTAAGAAGATGGAAACATAACTAAATAATGAATATACAGTATATTGTTGACTCAGTTTTCCATCAGCTGATGATATCTGTAGGCGCCAACTAACTGTAGCTATTTAAAATTTATCATTGTTTAAGTCTTCTACTTCTTTCATTGACAGAATATAAGATAGAAAAGTACGATGAATTGTACTAATATAAAAAATTTCAGTATCCTGTAATTAATCAATTTATTTCGCCTTTAAAAAATTTGCAGATCGACTGTGGCGTAATCAAAATCTTTTTTTTTTGTGCTCATTTTATATGGTAGTAAAACATTGATTTTCAAAAGTAAAATCCTTGCAGATTTTACAGTTGATGACGAATTATTTGAAACTACTTTACTCGCCAATTTAAAGACAATAATTTCGCAAGCTCCAATAATACTCTGAAAATTTCTAAGCTGTTATATGCACACAACTTGTCGATAGTGGTCATAAAAAATAATTATAAGTTATTAAACAAGTCATAAATAAATAAAATTTTTGTATAAATAGGCACTTTTTGAAAATCTACATTTCTTCTATATATATATATATATATATATATATATATATATATATATATATATATATATATACTGACTTCATTTTGTCAGTTTCTCTTTTTTTATAAAAAGAAAAAAATTGCAGCGTTTTGAATCAAAAATCGCAAATAATAAAAAATGAGAATTTAAAAGAAGATATATATATATATCTTCTTTTAAATTCTCATATATATATATATCTTCTTTTAAATTCTCATTTTTTATTATTTGCGATTTTTGATTCAAAACGCTGCAATTTTTTTCTTTTTATAAAAAAAGAGAAACTGACAAAATGAAGTCAGTTTATAAGACCAATAACACTAAAATAAAAAATACAAATTTTTCAAAAGTACAATTTAACAGAAAAATAAACAGTTATACGGACTATATAAATAAAAAAAAATCTTTGAGCTTTCATTTGACGTACGCGATTTGTAAGTTTGTATTTCAAAGTCTGCGATTTTGGCAACTTGGACGGCAAATTTGAATGAGTGTGTCATTATCATAATTCGTGTATATATCTCTTTTTCTCTGTTTTTGCTCAATCCATCACGTATAGTAATCAACCAAGCAAGAATAAATTGAGAGAGAGAGAGAGAGAGAGAGAGAGAAATTTTACAAGCCTCGCCGCTACTTGGCAGCCAGATAGGCCGTAATATGTCACGTGAAACATCCGCACATTCATTCACTGACCGTCATGTAACCGTTGAGTCTTTTTGTGAACATTTTCCAGCTTTTCTATAGACACGAGTTTCGTGTTTACTTAATTCACTCTTTTGAAATCAGATCGTACAGACAAAAGGGTAAAGCTACGTTTAGGGAATAGATCTTTGTAAATATGAAATTTGAATATTATATACAAAAATATATGATTATGAAACTATTTCAGTGTTTGTAATGAAGATTTTTTTTACGTAATACTCCCGCTTTAGCATTACTAATTGGCGTATTGTTTAAATTAATGTTAGTTGTAAACCAAAATGAAAGTTTGAGGACAGACATTATAAACAATTTTTTTAATTATTTTTGAACATGATTTCTACCGAATATGTTATATAAATTATCGAAAAAAATTCAATTAAAATTCAAATTCGTGACGTCCAAAAACCATATCTATTTCTAGAAAAGGCTTTCCTTCAAAAAGCTAGCTGACGGTCAGCCATCAGCAAGTGAGTGGAAGCGAGACAATGTGATGGCAAAGTGTGTGAGAGCGAGAGAGAAAACAAGAATTTGTACTGTGAGTGATATTGCTTGCACGGAGTCAGCGTAGCAGAAGACAATTAAAACCGTTGGCATAGTGGCTTATGGCCGTTGAGGCTTTGCTTGCTTTGGAGAAGCTGCAGTGGAGTTTGTCTCTCGTTGTGCATCCAGGGGGCCACCGGCGAAGACGACACCAGAAAAGCATTAAAAAAACGCAACCGATTACCAGTCTATTCGTAAAGTGAAATTGATCGAGTCAGTCGAGAGCGAGGAACCTAACCTATTCCCCGTTTAGCGTCTCGCATCATCCGCAACCTCGTCGTCGGCGCTATGCGGTGAGTGTGTGTGACATGGGACGGACACTTCCATCTCTCTCTCTCTCTCTCACACGCGCCATCCGCCTTCGTCAAATCAATTTCTAGCTCTCTTGCATGCATTGTGCATGCGTTGAAGCGAAGTCTCTCTCTCCCTCCCTGTACTGGGGGCTTTTGGAGTCGACTGCATATGCTTTTCGAGGTTTGGGCTTTGATAGTGACTTTTTTTAGTACCACTTGAGGGTGTAGTTTCTTGAATTTCGTCGTTGTTTCCGAGACTTTGGTGCTTGCTTTTTTTTTTTGCTGATGAGCAGATGAATTTCATGTTAATCTCTTGCGACCTGCACATTTATAACAATATCAAATGTTTCAAGGCTTTGGGAGTCATTTTGAATTTTTAGTAGCTTTACACATGCTATTTTTGCATTTGGTTGACTTGCTTATTACTTGCTTAGATAAGTTTAGAAAAAACGTAAAGTTGAATGTAACATTTGTACGAATAAGTTTCTTTTTTAAAGCTAATTATTCAATTATTAGATTAAATAGTTTAGGCTTTAAAACTGTAAAAAGTTTGTATAGGATGTCTAACTTTAAAATTAAATGTGACTTTACACATCATGTTAATTAATATTTTGTCTTAGATACTGTAAAAGTTAAGATTATCTTTCTCAATACTGAAAATTAACTGATTTATTTACAGATCAAGGTACAAACACTTGGTTATGTTATATTTTGTTGATTTTAAACACATGCAGTTTTTATCGCTTGTTAATTAAATCAATCGATACTTAGTAATTATTTGTGATGAATAAATTTGTTTTCAATAGTATAGATTTTACAATGTTGATAATACTGCTGAATATGTAGAGTTACAAAAGTATTAATGAATAAGCAATATGTTATAAAATATAGTTTATTTAAAAGTAAAATCAGATGTTAAAATACAAATATTTATAACAAACCAAGTAAATAACTTAGACAAACTCAATTCTCTTGTAATAACAATATTTCTGAAATATTGCTAACATAATTTTACTTTCTAATATAATCTCTTTTTTGGTAGAATGCATAAAAAGATAGTAAAGTGAGAAAATGGATCCAGCGACTGTTATTGCGCTGTGCAAAGAAAATATTCAGCCATTAAGACATGGAAGAAATGCAGTACAACTTGGAACTGCTCTTCGTGCACAAGAAGATGCTGAAGCACAGCAAATGCTTCAACAAGAAAAAAAGTATGTTTTTTAATTGATTAATTCAACCACTTCAAATAGACTATTCATTTTTCTTTGTTTTAATTTACAAGCATGTATGAAGATTTGATAAAAAATTATGTTGGAGATGATCCTCTTGAAAATTGGTATGAATATATCTTATGGGTGGAGCAGAGTTTTCCAAAAAGTGGACATGAGTCTCCAATAGCAAAGCTGTTGCAACAATGTTTGACAAATTTTGAGAAAGAAACAAAATATCATCAAGATCGAAGGTTTATTAGACTATGGATTAATTATGTAAGTCAAAAACTAGTTTCAACCATTATAATAAAAAGAAAATAGTGCTCTGATTTTTATATTTGGATTTCAGATAAGTGCACAAAAAAACCCTCTGGAATTATATCAGCTACTTTACAAAAATGGAATTGGAACAATGATAGCTGATTTGTATCGTGCATGGGCTTTCGAATTAGAACAAGTTGAGGATTACAAGCGAGCTGACGAGGTATATATGATTGGTTTGAATTGTCGCGCTGAGCCTCGCGAAGAATTGGACTATGCTCACAAGTACGATATTGTAATATTTAATTAAATTTATAACTATTCCGAGATTTTATTCACAACTTCGTTGACTTCTATTTCAGAAACTTCCAGTTGGCTGTCGCTCGAAAAACACTTGGACGCAATGACGATAGGAATGAAGTTACTGTAGCCGAACAGCGACAAGCTTTCAGTTCACTGAGAGCTATCAAAGCGGGTAAAAGAGTTGGCAGCGTGAGAACTGGACATAGAGTACGTGATTACATGCCAGGTGCTATACCGCAAATGGGTTCAAATTTCGCACAAAAATCTAATGCTCCTATACAAGTATACCAGGTATAAAACTTTGGATATAGAAAATTTATTTGAATAAGTTCTTCTATAATACACTTTTTCATTTATAGGACGACGTACCCGGCGATTTGAAAGGCTCTAGTATATTAGACCACGTGCCTATTGACGATGCTGTACATAAAGAAAATACTATCAAGCCTGGACCCTGGAATAATAATAACAAGAAATACCCATTGATACCTTCTGGTGTAAAACCATCCTTCAAAGGTAGAGCCAAAACTTAATATTATTCATCATTTCAATTATTTTAAGGATTTATTTTATAATAAGTTGTATTTTTTAGTACACGAAGACACTGAAGTTATCGATATGGCGAAGTTAAAACTATTTCCAAATCACGTTACATACTTTGACGACAGTAAATATGAGAAACAGTTCGAAGTACCCGTATTTGTTCCAGACGTACCTAATCCAAATGTTATATTGAAACCTCACTATCCCAAAGATTTAGTTTATACTAACAATGAGGACAAGAGTATGGAGCAAATAAGAGCTGAACGATATATTCATAGGTGCGTTTTACAGTTTCCTGTTCATTCAATTATAAGAATGTTATTTCAATTATAAGAATATTATCAAAATAAACTTTGAAATAAATTTCTAGGGAACAAAAAATCAATGGACAAATTCTTGATTCGAATAGCATTGATCAAAACATAGCAAAAGTTCATCCAATGAACCATGACAATCCAGTGGAAGAAATGGAGAGTCAAAATGAAGACAGGCATAGATTAGAAGAAGAGCAAAGGAAAGCTGACATGGAAAGACAGAATCAGATGGAACAACAGCAAAAGGAAGCTGAGATGGAAAGACAAAGACAAATGGAACAAGAACAAAGAGAGGCTGAATTAGAACGGCAAAGACAGCTGGAGCAACGACAAAGAGAAGCCGAGTTGGAAAGGCAGAGGCAACTTGAACAACAGCAGCGAGAAGCTGGTAAATATATTTTATTAAAAAATTCTTATTATATTATTCTTCAATAAATTTGAAAAATAAAATAATATTTATTTAACTATTCATTTAGATCGGCAGCGATTGCAAGAACAGCAACGTCTGCAAAGCGAGCAGTTGGAAATGGAGCGGCAGCGTATCGATGCAGAATTAAAACAGCAGATATTGTATGAAGTAGAAAAACGTCAACAACAACAATCACAACATCAACAGCAACAACACAAACTCCAAAACTCAACCTACTTAAGCCAACATCATTCAACGGATGAGCAACACTTACTCGGTCAAAGTATGACAGTGAACACCAAAGAAGCAATAAGCGCGGTGCAAGATTTATGGCAATCGCCAAGTAACAGCACTAGTCGTATTATATCCAGTCCAATCGCACATAAAATGCCCGAGACGCGAAGTAAAATCTCGTTTGATATACACATGGATAGCTCGATGACGCAAAACGTCATGGTCAGCAATAAAATGCACCATCAGCAGCAACAGCAGCAGCAAAGTTTTGGGCCTGTGCAACCGTATAATGACCAAGAGAATCGACATTTTCACAACTCGTTCTCCAGTCAAGAACATCAGAATTCGTATGGAAGTCACTCGATTATTCAGAATTCTTTTCATTATACAATACAGGTTAGTTACACAAAACGTACTGTCAACTAATTATCTTAATGTCACTTGTATAATATGAATTGCCCTATATTAATCAAATATTAAAATCGACCTTGAATTCTTTTTAATACTGGTGAATATAAATTTGATACTAAAATAAATAGAAAAAAATATTCTTTTAAAAATACAAACAACTTCGTTTTCACGAAAGAAAAGTCGTTAATAGTGCATTATGAATTTTTTATATACTTTTATTTTTCTAATTTATTATTTTATTAGGATTGTTGAAAAATCGAATTTTATAACTAAATATAAACCTATTTACAGCAACAGCCATCTCACCATCCTCATCAGCATATTCTACATACGCCCCATCCACAGGCAATGATGCAGCCACATCAGCAGCACCACCCACATCAACAAGTGTCGCCGCATATGCCACCTCCACAGCAGCATCAATACTCTCAACATCAGACGTCACCACACACGATACAACATCATCAGTCTCCTCCTCAACATCACATGCCATCTCATCACTATTCCCAGCACATACAGATACCGGTACAGCACATACAGGCACCACAGATCACTCAGCAACATCACTACAACACCTCTCAGCAGAGTATGAATACATCGCAGCATATGCACACATCGCCACACATGAATGCACCTTCTCATATGCACACGTCGCAACACATGAACGTATCGCAGCATATGAACGCCTCGCAACACATGAACGTCTCGCAGCACATGAATACTTCCCAGCATTTACAGCATCACTCTCACCATCAACATCCCCATCAGCATTCGCTCATACATCATCAACATTCGCAACAAATTGCTCAGCATCAGCAGCATTCTATATACAATAATATGCCAAATAATATGGGCTATCCACCACCTTACACTTCGCCTTTGCAATCCGGTCATACTAGTATGGAACAGTCACACAAACAGGTAAATCAATAAAGTCTGAGTATTAATAATAGTATATAATTGTCAAATAACTACTAATTTTTATTTTGCAGCTACAATACCCAGGTTATGTAGATCCAACAAACGAAAGTGCTAAACCCTCGCCTTATCGGATGCCATCGGAGTTACCTCTCATTAAATCTCCGGGCATGAATCGTCGCGATTTGAAGTATCTTGAGAATGCCGAGAATAAGGAAAATGCTGCTGTGGGTTACGATTTCAATGGATCTATGCAGCAACAACCAACCGAGAATAATCCGTATATAGATGAAAGTTTAGGCATTTCCCCGTTACCAGGAGTTAATGAAACTTGCTACACTGAAACATTCAATCGGACTCTCATTGCTTCCACACCCATGACTAGCCATTTTAAGGCATTCAAGCAACCCAAAGATATTCAACAACATCAGATTCAACAATCGCCGCAACAACATCATTTTCCTACTCAAATTTCGTCTCAACAGCATCATCATCTACAATTGTCTCCTCAACAACAACAACATCTTCAATCGATACAGCATCATCATCCTCAGTATACAAATCAGCCTATAGCCCCAGTACCACAGTAAGCTTTTTAAATTTAAAATTCAAATTTTTTTTGTTATTAATGCGTCTTGATTGATTCTTTTCATTCAGTATGCCAAGTTTGGTAGTACCATCGGAAACTGGTGAGAAGTTAAGCGTGATAATGGAGTCTACGAAAGAATACGTTTCAAGTAGCTCTGGCAGTAGTGGTGTTACTAAGACTGGTTTTACAATTACTCGTGATGATCTTCCTACTATCAAAGAACAGTCGACTGTCAATGGTAAGAAATTCAACTATAACAAAAGAATTCCTGAATGAGTTAGAAAATAACAATATATCTATATTATACGTAGATTCGTCAGGTCAGTACTATCTTGGTCACGGTTTTCATAACTACGAGCAGAATCAACAGCATCAGGCCTACGAACAAAAGATGCGAGCGCAAATTCAAGCGGTACATGCTCAAAGTCCGCGCACCGTTCAGCGCAACGTTGACCAAATCACCTCTGACATTAAAACCAATTGTGATTTACGCAAATCTATCAGCTTTAATGGCGTCGCGCCAGACACGACTTTGCCTGATCTCAAACCACCGGAATTACCAGCTCTAGATGAAAGTGGTGTCAAGCCAATGGATTACGAATATCAGGAACCGATGGAACAGGTGGTCGAGGAAGAACCACCGTTCGAACTTCCTGAAGGTGAATTCAATCCGTTTGATAAGAGAATTATCTCTGGATTATTGCGAAAAATGAAGTTTCCAATGGCACAGCATGCCGATGGCTATGTCAAGCTCAATTCTAATCTTGCTAAGCTCGTGCCTTCTACTTCGGTCTTACTTGGTAAGAATTGGTTTGTGATTTTATAAAAATTCCCGCAGTCAAGTATTATTGTCATTAATTGATACCCTTTTTCAGGTAACGATCAATACGACCTTGATAAGTGCCTCGGAAAAGGATCGTTCGGTACTGTTTACAAAGCTACTGATCTACAATCTCGGAAAATTGTTGCACTGAAAACGCAAAAGCCCGCTTGGGTTTGGGAATTCTATATTGCAAGAGAGGTCAAAACTCGACTTACGAATCCTCACATGGTAAATTTACTAGACATTCGTTTCACTTTACATATATAATTTACAATCTAACTTTGACGACAACATTTTTATTGAAGTTACGAGGCTTCATGGATGTACAAGCATGTTATATAGGGGACAATGGTAGCATTTTGGTATCGGAATTTTCAAAGTACGGCACACTGCTGGAAGTCACGAATAAGATTAAAATTTCAACTGGCAAACCTCTTAGTGAGCCGCTCGTGATATTTTTCACGATCGAAATGTTGCAAATTCTGGAATACTTACACAAATGCCAAATTATACACGCCGATGTTAAACCTGATAATTTTCTACTGATGCATCTGTAAGTAAACTCAAATTACAATGTTATTAACAATGAGCTAATAAATATGTTGAGTTCCTTGTTATATAGGCCTACCGACGATGTAAGGCCCACTATACAATTAATAGATTTTGGCAACAGCATAGATATGAGTCTATTTCCAAAAGAGACAAAGTTCACGCAAATTATAAAGACAGAAGACTTTACGTGTATTGAAATGCAAACCGGAAGGCCATGGACTTATCAAACGGATTTGTATTGTCTAGCTGCCTCTAGTCATTGTCTTCTCTTTGGAAATTATATGAGGGTCTCGAATAATGGTGATAAGTGGTACATCAATGCCAAATTACCTAGGTAAAATATTGCAATTTTAATTGACTGCTAAGCGACGTTGAACATAATAATGTTTTTGTACGATTGTGTACATTCAGGTATGCCAAAAAGGCTGTTTGGGAGCAATACTTCACGGAGCTCTTGAATATCGAGTCATGTGAGACATTGCCAGATTTAGCAAAACTTCGCAATATAATGGAGGAGGCGCTGGCGCAGATGCCCGAGTTGCAAACTAAATATCGGCAGTTCTCCAATGTACTGAATTCTCGATAACGCTTACTCAACTCACAAAACTTCATCCAGCGAAAATGTATCAGATGTGTCGCCTAGGTGTTGGCTGTTAAATAAGCGTCGTCTATCGTTAGCTTTCTTGATTTTCCTTTCCAATTTTTGCAGGAGTTGATAATCTTAAAATTTCGGTCGGTAGATTTATTCTCATTGATGTTAAGCAAGTTTTTTTTCATTGCTAACTATACTGACTAACTTATCGATCTGCATTGCTTCAGAAGAAATAAGTTCGCACAAGCTTTTCATTGCATACTGCAGTAATATGTGAAAGCTTTCGAAAGACCTTTTAAGCAATTCAATTCAATCGTGCTAATTTATTGTAAACATCCTTTTAACTATTTGGTAATTCTAAGAACTGATATTGCTCAAGTTGCTTTCTAATTGAAGTATGGACGCTTTACTTTATTATTTTTGTAAATGAGTTGCAATAACGTTGAGAGCCAATTTAAGCAACGAATATTTTAAATATCAATCTTTTAATTTTGTATTAATCTATTCTGTTGAGAGAGTTTTAATTCAACTACGCACATCAAAGGAATATAATTTTGTAAATTTTACGCTGACACAGCCAATGTATATTTTATTACTACTTTATTTCAATTTGATACATTAAGAGGAACATAAACTAACTACGAGCCGTTAAACAAAGGTTCTACTCTAGGTTAAGGTAATTTAGGGACATCATGCGATGAGGAGAGAAGGACAAAGATTTCAGATTTTAGTTGAGGTGATTTACTGTTAGATTTTATGAAGACCTACAAAATATTAGACCGTGTAATAATAATAGTAATATTAATGATAAGATTTAAAGTGTATGAACAGTAAAAAATAATGGAACATCATTTTTATGACAAATATAAGCGGTATGCTAAAAGAATATCGCGATATGTTCAATCATATATTAATGAAATGTATACTTTGCCTTACTTGGACGATGCAGCGTAAAATAAAATTGAAATAATTGTAAAGAAAATTTAAAACTTTTTGGAAAAGCAAATTTCATTAATGAGTTCCGCCTTTTTTGTCGATCGATACTCAATATCTCTAATTCAAGTAATAATTACTTATCTTCGTTCTGAAACAAAAGCTGCACTTGTTTTTGATAAATACTGAAATATATAAAATTATATCTTTTTCTATAATAAAACATAAAAAGACTTGTAAAAAGCGAATTTTAATTTTTTTAAACCCTTTCACTGCTACTCGTGTGACAATGTTTATTCCAAGATTTTTCGACGACTTTATTGTAAAAAAATTTGTAAATAGAATTTTTTTAATTTCCTTAAATACTTAAAACGTCTGTAATGAAAACTTATAAACTATTTAAAATATGTCTGTATCAATGCTTCTCGATCCAAAAACTTAATCATTCCAATAACTCATTATTTACTTAGGTCTGGTGTGTGTTCGATGTTATCTTGAACCAGAATTTATATAAAAAATATAAAATAAAGTGAGGACCAACCTTTTCAGAAACAATGAATTGGAAAATTTCATCATCAATAGTTTACAATTGTCGAACTTTGACATCTAATAATTTGAAACGTTTGTATTCCATATGTACATTGTGAAACAAACAACGATGTAAAAATTATGAATATTCAAGTAAAAACAACATTTCTGGTATTTATATTTTGTACTTGTATGATTTTGATTTACTATGATCGAATCATCGTACAAGTCGGAAAGACGTGTCGGAACATGTAATACTTATTAATTATAAAATTGTATTATTAGGATAACAGTTCTTGGAAATATAAATATTTACATAAAATATTGATCATGAAGCATTTATTGAGTCTTGATTATATTTCATAAATGTTATAAAATTATAATTTACAAATATATAAATATTGAAACACGCTTAAAAATCCTTTTTCGAACTAAAATATTGGATGATAACTAATAAATTCTCGTTAAAAAATACATTATACGCCTTCATTAAAAATACAAAGATATATTTATTTTAATAAAATTTAATATGTCAATACGTCATTAAAACTAATAACTACGTGATAATTTGTTTAAAAATAGTACATCACCTAAATAGTGCGGAAAAGTTGATTGTTGTTCGTGTGAGATTTACGCTTGAGCAAAGCGAGGGTGGAAAGACACACGAGACAAGAATCTCATTCTCATCATATCTCAAGAAGATATTTTTTAAAACGTGTGAAAAGTATTAATTTGAACGCACGTTTTTCGCCAAACGTACAGTAAAGTTATACTTTCCGCACGGCGTATTTTAAATACTTTATTCGAATTATTTATCCTTATTAAACCGATTTCTTATTTAATTATTTTGTTACTGTTCAATGACATATAACTATTGATATTTACAAATTATATTTAATAAATGCTAACTGATTAGTCCTAGAAGAATGCTTTTGTTTAATTTTTGCTGAGTAAATAATACAAAATTGATAATTTTATAGCAATCGTATACAGTACGCAATTTCGTAATAATGAAATAGTTCCAAATTACAAAGAAATAAAATATTTTTAGTTTCTCTATTAAAATCACTATGTCTTAATAATACTCTCTTCCTCATTCGTTTTATTATAATTTAAAAGCACAATAATTATTGGATATCATTCATACATATAAACATTTCTGCATTATAAAACCATCTTATTTTTTTCCATAAAATTTACGATTGAGCAGATACAACAGAAGATTAACATTGATCCTGGCCTTGCCAAACATATTCATTATTGGCGAACCCTCGTACTGTAACTCGAGTAGTTTTGTCACATCGACGTCAACTTTTTCCATTTCAACACCCATGAATTTTCCGCGTACCGTAAATATTCCGTCATTGTCGGTCGGCGTAATTTCAAACATCACATTTTTAAATTGTGACTTACTTAGACCAGTTATTTCTACAAGGATGCCTTTATCGTGTAATCGGGCTGCGGAGTATTTTAAAGTCATGTTGGATTTGAGTTTGACGTGGTTATTTTTGTGATTGTCTTTATGAGTTCGCAAGGTTCTGCAACGGTACAATTCATTATTGTTACATAAGAATTTTTAATAGAATATAAAATAATCAAAAAGTCTAAATTACCCTTTTCCTGTGTTCAAATTTGCCAAGCACTGCTTGATATACATACTATAATATTCGACTTGTTCCATATAATAATTGGATTTTTCCTCCAGTCTTTGTTTTGTACCGCGAAGCATTGCCAGCTCTTTGTTTCTGGCAACTCTATATCGACCTTTGTTACATAAATCTTTCGCCACTGCAGTTACTATAGTTTGATATCCATCTTCGCGCGACACCCATCCACCCATTTCAAGTTTATCGAGATAAGCTTGCAGTTGAAGCTTGCAATCATCCAAGGATAAACTAAAACGTATCATCATTATTATACATTATTGAAATCAAAAATTAACTTTAAATTGTATTTGAGATTAATGTCACCTTTTATGTTGCGTTATTGACAAAGTTTTAACACTGTATAGTTTTTCTTGAATTGGAGACGATGAAGTACTCAGTGCGTCAACTAAAGAGTCACCTTTCAAATATTTAAGTACCGAAACTAACAGCTCCTTTGTTTTGATAAATAACCTACTTAGACTCGAATCATTACTCACAGGAACTTCGAACTTATTGCTGAGGACGAGGTTCACTTCAGTCTTACCAAGACGTGCTATATCTATCTCACTCACATTGTCAGCTAAAATTATGTTAATACATATTTTTTAAAGAAATCTAAGTTTTTAATATAATCCTGAAAATAGACCTGAAAGTTCTTACGTAATCCAAGAAGAGTTGCAACTGTAGGTGCATTTCCAAGATCATCAAGTAACTCATGAAGCGAGTCCATTGGATTTGGAGCAATATGGTATTGGTAATTGAGTAATAGACAATGGGTATCGCAGATTTCTTGTAAAGAAATTACGATTTCGGGCATATGAATGAGCGTAGCTTCTGCGTACTCGTGCATATTGAAATGATCGTCAAGTTCTTCAACTTGACAGCAGTAACGGAAGAATTTCTTGAATTTCTCGTGACATTGGATTATGAAAGAGTTGAGACATACCAAATGTGTTGCTTCTTCATCAAACTAAAAAACAATACATAAAGAATCATAAAATATATTCATTGAAATTATATTCAAAGAATATTTGCGTTTGATTAATACGTACGCCCTTCTTTGATGTTGCAAACTGCAAAATTTTAGCAATACTGGCTAGGTTTCTTCTTTGATCATTGGAAAGTGTCATTTTCATTGGCAAAGTTATAATATCAAATGCGTCGGGAGCAACAATGGCAGCGTTAATAAAATGATAGTAAACCAAGTTTCCCACAACTTTAAGAATTTCTTTCTCAGGAGTGTCTGGAAATTTTTCGCTCAATGTTCTGTACAGTACTTTTGCCATATACAGCATGCCATATGGAATCAAATCTCGGGACGACGTTATTTTATTTAAAAATTCTAAAACAGTTGTTTGTAATATTCTGATGCTTTTACTCAGTCGCTTTTGTACATCTACGTATTGTAAAGCGTGTTGCTCTGTTACATGGTAAGGCAGATCCCTAAGTTATAAAATTATATTAATTTTTACAAGTAAATGTACAATTAATATCTGTTTTTAAAGCTTACGATGCTTCTCCCTTTTCCATTTCTAATTGATTTCTCCAGCATTTGTAAATGTCCACTGGATTTGTTTCGATTGATATGCTTTTATCATTGAGGATTTTTTCGATCGTTGGACCAAGAATCTCGCGTAACGATCTTGAACCATTTACCTGTTTCGCATAGTTCACAGCCATTTTTAAAACCATAGGGGTAGCAGTAATAACTTCCGACGGCTTTTGCAATTTACCTCTAAAACGGAGACCAACCTTATATTAATTCGTAATTTCATTTGATGACTTTGCATCTTAAAAATGTATACCTTATTTCATCCTCTAATGCAGTACTCAGCAACTTTAAGAATAGGTATTCCTCTCGTGAATTCGAACCGAAATTGAATAAAGTCATGATAACATTGTGTACAAATTTGTTTGATTTACTCTGTGGTAAGAGGAAAAGCAATTTAGACAAATATATAGGATTTGTTTGAAGAGAATAAAATAGGTGTTGGTAGCCTTCAAGCATCCTGCGTCCTTCTTTCGTTAGCGATTTTAATCCTTTATAAGTGCTATAACTCTCACAAGACATTGAATTATGACGGATTCTTTGGTGTAATTCCTTGTCTTTTGTTAAATTTTCCAAATTCTTTCCGTGTGCGACTACATCCTATTCCAAGTAAACAGTTATAATTTTTTGCGGTTTATTAACACAGGAATATTTGTAAAATGCTAAATTAATATTAATGAAATAATTAATTACCTGCAGAGTAACACGATTTTGAATGAGTAAACCAATTTTAATGTCCATGTTATTTAACTGGTAAGAAAGTTTTTGATTATGCTTGATGAGCTGAACAACATCGTTTTTCAGTTGCTGTAATATTAATCGTAATATTAATCTTATTTTATTAAATGAAATAGGGAATTTTTTATGAAGCAACAGCGTATTTGCATACCTGCAACTGAAGATCTTTGTCGTAATCTTCAGCATTGAAGTTCAGGATACCAGAGAAGTGTCTAACAATCGAAAACGGAGGTTTGTCCATGCGTAAAAGTGAATCGAAAGCTCGTCTTGCCGATCGACCACGCCACAAAGCTTGAATCTTGATTATTTTATGTTCTTGTTGTTTGTAATAATCCATAGTTCGTTGATATTTAGCTTTTACTTTTACATAGTTACAAACTGCTTCGGCACTACTTCTCAATCTTCGCTCCAAAATTTTAGCGTAAGCACGTCTTTGCAATTGTCCACGCCACCAAGCTTGAATTTTTACAACTTTGTCCAAACAGTTTGCAAGTTTCATACGTATCAAGTAGCCTCTTACACAAGCTTGTAATCTTATAAGCAGTTTTTCAAAGTCCTTATTTATTTCTAAAGATGCTTCTGCTATAGTGATATCTCTGATAACGTCCTATAGAACGTTGTTAAATTGTCAAATAAAATGTTTAACATAAATATTTATACTACTAAGAAAAGTTGTTTACTACAACTTACTTCTATGTCTTTTTTAGTGACGTACTGCGACTCGGTTACATTTTTAATATGGTCCCAAGTGTAACTACAGTTGACCATATCAATAAATGCTTCATTACCACCAGGAGTGATAAACTGCACGTAATTGCATGAATATCTCTCTTTCTAAATATTGTATAATAAAAATTGATATAATCACCAGTTAAATATAACATTTTATTTAACATTTTGCAATAATTCGGTGAGTACCTTAATTTTTCTAAGTGCTTTTAGTGCTTCATAACATTGAACCATGTGTTTTTCCGACAGTTGTAAATTGGCTGCTTGTAGGCAATCAATCGTAAAATTATAATGATCTTTTTCAAGGCCCTCGTTGATCTGTGATAATGTGGTGCAAGCTGTGAAAATATAATATTAATGACTTCTATAAAAATGCATAATTTCATTCAGATATAAATTAAAAACTTACCGTGTTGTACGCTTTCTGATTCATCCAACACAGTTTGTAAAATTTGCTCGACATCTTCAAGCCATAACTCAGAACCGTCCGAATGCTTCTCTGTCAATCGTTTAGTAAACAATTTAAGATACAGTGAAGCGTCATCTGGAGACGTACTCTTTTCTAATTTTATTGTAATATGTTCCAAAGCTTCCATCATCTCAGAACGGCTATTTTTTTTTACAGCAATATTCAAGCTATTGATCACATCTACCACTGTTGAATTTAAAAAATTAGTAAGATACGTATTATGAAAACTTAAATTTTAATATTATTTTATTTTACCTTTATTATCTTCAAAACACTGTTCATTTACCAAATCAACGCATTCCTGAACGTCAATAAACGTTAACAAAGGGCATATCTCTTCAGTTAATTGTTTTTCATGGCGAACGGCTGCCAAGGCTCTCAAATACTTTACTTTATTGTCTTCTTCGAGATTCTAGATAATAAATTATAATGTTTTATTTTTTCTTATTTATTGTTTCAAATGTAAGTTTCCATAATACAGAGTATACTTACAGCAACATGAGCATCTTGATTACTTAAAGCTTCATATATCAAATCCGGATCATTGGTGTCAATGGATTTCGTTATATTCGCAATTGCAGTTAAAACTCTAATACTTACAATAATATCACTATGAGTTAAGTCAGCCTGCCGCAATAAATTTAAATGTCGAAATAAAGAAATCAATGAATGAAATTATGAATTTTCAGGAATGATATTTACTTTAGACTCGATCCGATCGATCTTCATCTCTTCATAATACAAGGGAACAGCAAACTCATCAACCAGATGGGAGATTCCTAATTTAGGATTAAGTAAAGCATTATGAAATTCTTGTTCTGTACCTATTTGCAAGACTTGATTGAGATATTTAACAGCTTCTTCACCTAAAGTAAAAATAAATCAAAATTAAAACTTACAATAATATTTAAATGATCCAATTGCTATAGAAAAAATTATAGTTAATCTTACGTTTTTTCGATTTCTTGGCACTGTCATTAGAGCTATGAACGATCTCCTGTAACTTGCTCTGCCAATATTGACAATTATCCGTGGTACGATTTTCCCATTCCCAGCTTGTTATTAATGGTCTCAATTCACGTCTATATACTTCATCATTATCATACGATACACATTGAAGTTTTAAAGCAGGATTTTGTAAAGCAGATGCAACGTTTTTCATCGTTTGACAAACCGCATCGGTTAAAAGTTCAAATGCACATTGCACTAAACAAACCCATATTTTAAACATAAATACACCAATAATAAAAAATTAAACATTAATTTAAGACGAACTTACTATTAACGTTATTGATATGTCCTTGGATTTCAGCTTGCGTTAAAAGCTCGTCATAAGCATCAGAAACGTAACTATCATTTAGAGACTATAAATAGTAAGTTTGATAATAATAAATATGAAACTCGAAAGCAGTGAATAAAGAATTTTATCACAAAAATAAATGTTACCCTATTCAAAGCAGCTTGTTCTTTTCTCTCTTTAGCAGCAAACAGTTCTATAAAATAAAAGTTTATATAATCAGGATTAATATTCTTCAAACGTACTGCAGAATTTTGTAGCTGATTTGAGAGTGAATTTTGATCCTAAAAGAAATAAAATTATTGAATTACAGAAAACTATCAATTAATTACTATAAAAAATATACAAATATAAGATTAGTACTGTCAACACCTGAGAAGTCAAAGATTGATTTATTGCTATAACTGCAGCATGTAAAGCAGCTGTATCTCCTGACATGCTGTTTGTCAAAAGTCCACCTATTTTTTGAAAAGCAGGCATCTGAATACCCATTTTCTTTAATTCTTTACTAACAGCATCAATTTCCTCATCTATAAAACAGAATAATGTAACAATCTTTTCAAATACCATCGCAGGTAGAGATTATACCTTAAGAATATAAAAGAATATAAATATAAATATAATATAATCAACATACCAGTAAAGTTAACTTTTCCATATAAGTCTTGAATTTGTGGTGCTTTACCTAACTTGAATAAATGTGTACTCAAAGCATGAATGCAATAAATCAATCGAGGCATGTTTTTCTTATCATAAATATCTGTTGTTTCTGGTTGAAATGTCTATAACAACAGAAACATGTTATCATTATTTTGAAATATGGTAAATGAAAGTTTACCTTAAATACTTACAAATGGTAGATGCATAGATTTGAGACACTTTAGAAAGTGGTTTATGTTATCTGTATGTCGAAACTGTAAACCAGCAAGAGTATATCTTTTTTGCTCAATGTCATATATTTTATTCAATGGCAAAATATCTGGAGCAATAAAATGTCCAAGTTTTGCTAAGTACACTCCATTTCTAAGATTCTCTTCTAATTCTGTTGTTGGTGGTAATTTTTCTCTCAAGCAAGCTTCCAACCATCTGAAAAAGGATTAGTATAAGAATTTTTTAAAAAGCAACTTTTTGCAATCAACTTATATGTGTACATAATTTGGTAAATAACACAAATCCATATATGTATTTATTAACAATATTTAATACATTAAATACATACTTCTTGGCCTCTTCAAGATGGCATAAATATTCATAAGCCAAGGTCTTTTGTCTGATTTGATCCATTTCCTCAGCTGTCCTTTGACCACTCTTTACTTCTATAGTAAACACAAACAAATTACTTTGTTAACTTTACATTATAGTGTATATAATAAATATATTTGTAAAGTAGTCATAACAATCATTCTAATTAACTTATTATACAGTTTTCAACATCACGTTATCTAAAACTAATATTTTAATTCAAAACAATGAGTTACAAGATTTATTTTCATCTGATCAAGGCAGATAAAACAAATTTTACCTTCATTCGTATGGACGAGGAGCTGAGCAATATCTTTGGTCTTCATTTTGACTTTCGTTCACTGAAACTAGTTTGATATTAATAAATTATTATTGAATAAGACAGTTAAAAACGCGCATTCTGCTAATCAAGAAGCTATTTCTCTAACGTCTCCGGCAACAGTTTAAAAAGATCGTTACATCTCCCACCGCGGCCGCCTGCAGCTGATATATACGCCGCTAACGCGCAGACGCGTACCGTATTAAACAAGTATATTAAGTCAGCATACTGCTACATAAGAATTGAGAATTACCAATAAAAATAAGTTATTTTAGATAGTTTTTAAATAAATCTCAATACTTCAAATAATTTTATTCCTTTATATTAACTATAAAATTTACATTTTACTCTCTTAAATTTAAGATATAAAATTTATTTTATAAACAATTAAGATAACATGGTTTTAATTTTCTAAACGTACATGTAAAGGTGTTAAACATGTAAAACATGTCTAAATGCTATTTGTTAATAAACTCGCATATCTCTAATAACATATATTATGGACAGTTGTTTATATAATAATCCTTACATATTTTCTATAACACATGTAATTATATTTGTTTATAAATACTACATTAATTTGTCTTTTTATATTATTTTTAAATAATATAAGTAACAAAGAAATATAATTAAAATCATTCTTTTATCTCAATCACAGCTCAGCTACTTCTCAACAATAAACTTTGTAACCTTATAATATAGCAATAAAACTCTTTCAATTTTAATTTCATGTATATCTTCTTCTGTAATTAGTTATTTCGTCAAAAATTTTTGTCAATATCCTTTTTAAAGATGTATACTTTTTGTCGAACTCTTGTTCTAAGTCCCGAAATTAATCCAAAATAAAATCAAACAGATTTAAAAAATAGATTTTGTTATAAAATATTTAATTTCTAAAGTCTATTTCAAAAGTTCCATTTTTTTTTCAATAATGTTTATAACTGAATATGAACAATATAAATATTTGGTTACATGAAATAAGAACAGCAGATATAAAAAATATACTATTGAATTAAAAAAAAACATTAGTATATCCTCTATAAAGAAATTATGATAGTTAATCAAATACATACAAAGTAATATATTAATAAGTTACTTTATTCAGATTTTTTTTTTATCTTCAATTTTTTTGTTATTGTTCAAAGTAGTTTTTTTAATCGAAAGCTTTTCACATTTTTCTGTTCAAGCTTATGGATGGTTTCATATTCTTTATGTAAGATTTTATAATCTAAAATAAAATATACCATTTTATCAATATCTATATTCATTTTTATTTTTTGTGCTTCTATCTCTAATTTATTTTATCGATTTCATCAATTGACAATCTATTTCTATTTTGTATTTTATATTTCATTACTTGGTCAACATTTTCATTGTCACTTGTCATAACATTAATATTCTTCAAAAACTTCGGGCACGCAGTCGTTAATTAAAAAAAAATTAGGTGAAAGTGCTCTGCCGAGTAGGTGTATAATCTTGCCTCACTGGCCGGGTCTTCTACTAAAAAAAATGTCCTTAGAAATGAAATTAAAATACGAAAATGGTGAGATTTCAATTTGAAAATAATTGATAGATTGTACGGATGCTAAATTTGAAGAATCTATTATTAGGAATTGATGTAAAGCCATTGTAAAGCAATCTTTTATTTGATATGCTCCAAAATAAAAAATAATTACAGCATATATAGTTTTGTGCTTTGAGTAAAGTTGCTACTTAATAGAAAGCTATATTAGATTACCAACAGTACGTTTTTTAATCTATATTATTTTTATTGTTCAGCATTAATACGTGAAGTTCATTGTGATTTATTATTATTTTGTGTCACAAATCAAATACAGCAATTAAACTTTTCATTTTTTCGTAACGGTCATTTATTCCACTTGAATCTCATTAAATCGCTTATCAAAACTATTTATAAAATTGATCTTGAATATATATTGTAAAACGAAAACAAAAATACTCAAAGTCTGCCTCCAGTTATACGGTAATCTGTATGCGTACGTAAAGCTACAATATTATAAAAGTGAACTTGAACAGGTTTAATTATGTGTCTTTCATCTATAATAAATAATCAATATAATACTTGTATTTTTCTCATTTTACGATGAAAAGTCTTCGTTTACAACGAGATGTCTGAGCCATCATATAAATGTTGCAATTAGATTAGTACAGTTATCATATAAAATATGTATGTAAGATTAACTTGCAAATTTCATAGCTATCGCACGGTAAATTTCAACAACCAAAGGCGAACTTGATTGCTCCAACGACTTGAATAACGGAGTACTTAACACGTATTTGGCATGCTCTATTATGAAATTCATAGCAGCACTTTTCAGTATGTCCGCTTGCAATAGATCTGCCAAATTAAGTATATCAATAGAATTGCCAACGGTGATATTCCTACAAACGATTTCCTCGCACATCGCTTTCAAGTCATCTAATCTATACTTGTCGGATGCGCTCAAAAGTTCATACGCGAGTTCATCTATATTTTCGACTTTTCCCGTATAAATAAATCGCAAAATCTCTGTCAAAACGTCCGGATTGATGTCTTTAATGTACACTCGATTTTGCATTGCCTCCTCCATGTCGTGTGCAAATAAAGCTGCAAACACTGGGCTCCGAGTGGCGAGGATCGCTTTGTGCGCGCGGAATTCTTTGCCAACGGCAACTATGGAAACGTCGCTCAAGTGGGGGTTATCGAAGAGCTTATGAAAATCCCGCGACAAATTCATCTGGCAGATGCTGGGGTTGATCACTGCCCTCTCGGAATCCGTCGACATGTAGGTGTTCAACCCAACGGAAATTTGACACTCTATCGTGAGCTTGTTGTCTTTCAAGTAGTTATGAAGATCCTGCCTCTTCATGAAATGAGTCGTCCCGGCCGACATCGGGTACAGGGTGAACGTTTTAATGCCTTGGAACAGTTTGATTTTTTGGCCACTGTTATTTTCAGCGAAAAAGAAGATTTGCGCTTCCACCGTTTTTAGCTTCAGTTCTTCTAGGATTATGTCTAAGGACACGATGTGGTCTGCGCTGAGAGATGTGCCGCGAGGATAAATGTTCAGGTGCCATTTGCATTCGTCGTTAGGACCTACTGTAAACGATGGTGATCTTATACATTCCCCCGTTGCTAAGCCACTGAGGTGAAAATTTATTATTTCCCAGTTGAACGACTTTTGAGCTACTATTACTTCTGTCGTTCTCCTAATACTATCCATGATGCTATCCATGGCACTTAGGTGCTATCTGTTACTGACTCTAAGGTAGATGAGTCGAACCTGTAAAAATAACGAATTTTCTTTAATAGAATGCACGACACCTTTTTAACCAGCGCGTTTGATTTATGAACTTTTCGCGCTGAGTTGCATTGAAAGTACTACTAGAGTCAAGCTATCGGATATAAAGTTCGATAAATATACGTCTATAACCTCAACACAAGTTAAAAATAAACTTTTTTAAGTTTTACAAAAGTTCGTTACTTGTAAATATAATATATTTAGACAGCTATGATATCCAGAACGATACCAAAATGGCAAATCTACTCTACCATTTTTCTTGGATTTGTTTCTGGTTATTACATATGGCAGCCTGAATTGAAAAAGTACGCAGAAAAGCAACAACAAAAGCAACTGAATGAGACGAATCTTGGAGGCAAATCCTAGTTACACGTTGTCGGAGATTAAAAAGATGATAATTGAAAAATAGATATTACGAAAAGTACCGCTAAGAATGTTACTTACTACTGCAGTATACTGTTGAGTATTTTCAAACGATGGTGCAAATAACCTACAAATCGTGAGTTGATTCAGCTTTATACGTAGAGTATATATAGACAACTTACCTATACATGAAAATCTGATTGTAATTGACACTTTCGTGAATTCAAACGATGAACTTGGAGAATTCATTTTTGATAAAAATTCGACTTGAAATGAATATATAATTCTATTTATATTATACTAAAACAATCAAATATATGCATTAAAAATGTGAACTGTAATAAAAAAAATGTACAATTCGTTTTTTTTAATTTTTTAAAAGCTGGACCGTTTTATGAAATAAAGGCATCCTTCCCTTTGAAACATTGAATTATCGTCCTCATTTCATAAAACGCTTTTATTGTAGTATTATACAGATTGGCTAGTTTTTTACTTCATCAAGATAAACTTTAAATTGACAAGTGTCACGTATAATTTTAATTAAAATTTATATTAATAAACCATATATTATATTTTCAGGTAGAACAAGTATTCTTTAGTCTCCTTATATGGAATGCCATAGAATGAAAGACACAATGAAAAATAGTTGCTTAGATTTTATTTCATTTTATATTCATGGTAGTGTTATAACAGAATTTCTAGAATAAAAATGGATTGTTTCATATAAAAAGTTATTAAAAATTTTAATTACTTTATGTCTAATGGTATTCATTTATTCGTATTTATTTATTTTATTATTTTGAAATTAATTTATAAATGAGTAATAATCTATCTTTTCCTTGATAAATATTTTCAAAATATATTTCTTTTATCAATGGAGTATCTTGGCTAAGAGAAATAAAGAAAATCATTTACAACTGTAATAAATAGTTAGTTAACATATGTGATAATTAAGAATTATATTAAAGACTTATATATTGTTATTATCATTTAATTTTTTCGCCTATAAATATTTTTTCGTGTCTGGTATTGGAAAATTAATTAATAATTACAATTAACTGCGAAATCAAAAAAATCGAAAATACACTAAATCAATTCTATGCTTTGAAACGCTTAGAAATATACTTGCATTCAATATAGGTAAGTAAACTTCTGAATTGAAATAAACTTAATTCAAAAATTGTCATTCATCGAATCGCTTCGATTTTCTTTTTTTTGCGAGATAAATTAACTTACACAAAACGATAGGAATATAAGTATTCGTATTTTGATCAACATTCATACTTTTCCCTATTGGAATTTCCCACATGGGATACCACGTGGGATCCCACATGGGAACCTACATGGGATCTTATGCGGGATACCGCATGGTATCCTATGTGGGATCCTTTCGAGGAATTTGATAGGATTTCCCACATTGGATTCCACATGGGATCCCAAAAAATTCAGAAAATTTTTGCAATCCCACATGCGGTACCAAAAAAAAATTATTGATATAAGCGTATTTTCATAATTGTTGTTATTCCCCGCTTAACAACATAAGCGAGGTATTATCAATGAAAATACGCTTATATCAATAATTTTTTTTTGGTACCGCATGCGGAATCCCATGTGGGATTGCTAAGATTTTCTGAATTTTTTGGGATCCCATGTGGGATCAAATGTGGGAAATCCTATCCAATTCCCGGAAAGGATTCCACATGGGATCCCATGCGGGATCCCGCATCAGATCCCATGTAGGTTCCCATGTGGGACCCCATGTGGTATCCCATGTGGGAAATTCCAATAGGGTTATTAACAACAATATTTTTGTAATTTACATTTTGATAAAGATTAATATTTTTATTCGTAAGTACATTAGAATTTGGAATCGCAAAAGTTATTGCCACTAGTATAGTACGTTCATTTTTCATTGATATATTTTGATCTCCAGAATCAATAAATATTGAAGCGTTGTTAACTAAAATTTGTATATCATGCTTTAAAAAAGGTAGAAATAATATGTTAATGATTGCGGGGAATAACAAGATCTTTTCCTCTTTCAATAACAAATGAATTTTTGTTAGAATAAAAATTCAATATTTCTCCATATATGTGAGTGTTAATTACACAGATCTACAAAATTTGATATAATTTCAAACCCAGAGCTGAGAACTATTACGTCCTCGAAGGATTTTCATGCACTGAATCCAGATCCATGTTCAATTTTTTTCCTTATACGTCAGGTTTCCAAAATATCCTTACCTAAATGTGGAAAAAACACTATTTTTGGCTATATTCGAGATTGAACTTCCATTCCAATCTCTCAGGCTAGTTTTTCCTTACTCAATGTTCATTTCTTGCACAGTTATCCCAAAGACAAAGAAAATAGGGGTATTTTATTTGAAGTCTACAAATAAACACATTATCTAAATATTATCGCCTCTAGTAATTACAGGTGAGTTTGTTGAACTGGGACGTTTATTGTATTATACTTTCTTATTTTTCTTTTAATTCCTCGTGTCAACTCCATAACTTCTCACTATATCAACGTTATATTTAAGCGATTCATAAAATTTCCGCATCCGCATCTTTATCAATATACGATGTTATATACAGGGTGGCCCATTTTAAGTGATCCACTCAGATATCTAGATTGGAGTGAGTTTTATCGAAAAAAGTTTCAGACAAAAGTTACTCAACTTTGAGGGGGCCATGTTTCTATGACCTTGGATTTGACCTTGGAGGTCATGTTCAAGGTCATTTCAAGGTCAACTTTGTTTTTTTAAATAGGAACCCCCATTTTTGACCCCGGATTCGGAAAGAGCGGGAAATTTTACGTCCAAAACGGTATTTTTAAATTTTTTTTCATGGCCTAGAGAAGGTCGATTTAAGGTCAAATGCTTGAAAAACTGCATAAAAGCGTTTTTTTAATTTTTAAGATATCGAAAAATGACCTCTACAAAATTTGTTCAGAACAGAGTGGGCCACCCAATGCACTAAAAACCGTTGACCTTTAACCTCATTTTGAAGGTCATTTCAAGGTCGAAGTGTTTTTTGTAATGGAAACCCCTCTTTTTGACCCCGGATTCGCACATAGCGCGAAACTCAACACAATACCTTATCCAAACGTCGGATTTCGCGCTATGTGCGTATCCGGGGTTAAAAAGAGGGATTTCCATTACAAAAAACACTTCGACCTTGAAATGACCTTCAAAATGAGGTTAAAGGTCAAAGGTTTTTGGTGCATTGGGTGGCCCACTCTGTTCTGAACAAATTTTGTAGAGGTCATTTTTCGATATCTTAAAAATTAAAAAAACGCTTTTATGCAGTTTTTCAAGCATTTGACCTTAAATCGACCTTCTCAAGGCCATGAAAAAAAATTTAAAAATACCGTTTTGGACGTAAAATTTCCCGCTCTTTCCGAATCCGGGGTCAAAAATGGGGGTTCCTATTTAAAAAAACAAAGTTGACCTTGAAATGACCTTGAACATGACCTCCAAGGTCAAATCCAAGGTCATAGAAACATGGCCCCCTCAAAGTTGAGTAACTTTTATCTGAAACTTTTTTCGATAAAACTCACTCCAATCTAGATATCTGAGTGGATCACTTAAAATGGGCCACCCTGTATATGCTAAAAATTAAAAATTATTTTGAAAAGATTATTTTTATTTTTACTTAATAGGAATTATAACTGTAGACGAAATGTGAATACACCACTACACTCCTAAGACAAAGAAACAGTAAAAACAGTGGATTGTGAAAGGTCAACAAGCTCCAAAGAAGGCGAAGACAGTGAAATCGGTCGACAAGGTTATGGCCACTATAGAATTATCTTCGTCGACTATTTAGAAAAAGGACAAACAATCACCGGAGAGTATTATGCGTCGTTGTTGGACCGGTTAAGCGAGAAAATAAAGGAAAAACGTCCTCATTTGAAGAAAAAAAAAATTCTGTTTCATCAAGACAATGCATGAGTGCACGCTTGTTTAATTTTAATGGCTAAAATTAAGGAATTGTAGTTCGAATTAGGAGGCCATCCACCGTATTCATCAGATTTGGCCCCTGGTGATTTTTTTTTATTCTCAAACCTAAAAATGTGGCTTGCCGGAGAATGATTCATCTCGAACGAAACCACAACACAAGCAAATGGCTATTTTGCGGAACTTCCAAAATTATTTTTTTCTGATGGCTTACAAAAATTTGAAGGGTACCTGGAAAAGTGTATTGAGCTAAATGGAGATTATGTTAAAAAATAAAAAAATATACCAAAACAAAATTGTTTTTCTATTTTTTCCTAAAAACTTATTAACCTACCTTCGTATATAGCAAATCACATCATGGGTGACAAGTGTCCATCCCCATAATAGGTTTCTACTTAACTTAATGATTGACAATGAATGATATCGTATATAGTTATAGTTAACTTATTCGTCATGATATTTTATCCATACTTTAGTATAGAGTACATGCCGTTTTTTGCAAGCAGTTGAGGAAGCGACAAGAGAGCGACAGATGCATACCACTATACAGCCATCAAATTTATTATTCGTGAGATCATTGAAATTACACATAGCAAATTACATCACGAGCGACAACACTGTCTCTAAGTATCAGTTTATTCATGCGAATAGTGAGATTGCATATAGTGAACGATTTCGCAAGTTCATCTTATTTCATAGCCGAGTGTTAGATCTTACATATATAGTTTTAATTAACTTTTTCGCCACGATATTTTATCCATACTCAAATTCAAATATATAATTCGTTTTTAACAAGCTATTAAAGAGAAATAACAAAGGCGGCGACACTCACAAGTTATCATAAATCAGATTAATTTTTATTCGGGCGAATAGTGAGATTACATATAGTAAACTATATCACAAGATCAACTAATTTCATTGTTGACTGTTCGTTATGTCGTATATAGTTTTAATTAATTTTTTCACCACGATATTTTATACGCACTGACCTTGAAATGAAAAATCTCTATATATATATTTATAAAATTTGCAAAGATAAATTACATATAGCAAACCATATCACGCATGACAAGTTTCCACCCCTACAATAGGTTTCGACTCGACTTGATTATTCGCTGTTCGTTGTCTGTATAGCGTATAGTTTTAATTAATGGATGTTTCAATGCACAAAGAGTATCGGGCGATATAATCAGTC